AGACTAATCCTCTAATATTATTATATAAAGAACTATTATAGTATATAGCAGAAGGATATAATAGGTAAAAATATTTAGGAGAAAGTTTATAATAAGTAGAGGAGGGATTAGAGATATAGTATAAAATAAATAAGTAAAAAACTTAATATACTAGTAAATAAAAATTAGTAAGGAATAGCTATCTTATATAATAATAAATAAAGTTACTAAAGCTATAGAATAGTAAAGACTTAACTATTTTAGATAATAAGGACTAGAAGAGAATTCAAAGTAATAATTTAGAATTAATATCTTAAAAGAATACTAGAGAGATAGATTTTAAAGAATTATTTATAGTTATAATATCCTCTTATTAGGAGTAAACAGAGTAATATAAAGATAATATATTTATATAGGTAGATTAGAAAATAATACTATACTAGAATTACTTTTCTAAGAAGAAGAAAAGAAATTATAGACTAGTAGATTTTACTAATTATAAAGAAAAACTAATTATAATAGGATATTAAGAATTATACTAATTAACTAAAGTAATAAATAATTACTAATTAAAAGTCTAAGTTAAACTTTATATTAAGGATCCTATAAGATAATACCTTAGCTAACTAAAATAAATTATTATTATTACTAGAAGAAGGTGCTAATTCCTCTAGATAAGCCTTAATATAATAAGTAAATACTTAAAGATCTTAAAGAACTATAAAAAGATTATAATAATTACCCTAGTTAATATAACTTACTAGCTAGGGAATATAAACTCTATTTAAGAAATTTTTATAATTAAGTAATAATAAAGAAGAATAATATTTAATAAGACTTCTTATTAGGACTATTAATAAGATACTTACTAAAGTATAAGAAGAAGTTACTATAATAGAACTAATCTAAGAGAGAGAGGGAGTTAATCTAATTAAATTATCTTAAGTAAGAGAGGAAGTTACTAAAGAAGAACTAGCTTAAGAATAAGAGAAAGTTACTATAATAGAATAATATCTCTTAGCTAGACTAATTACTACTACTATAAAATATTTTAAAGAAAGATAATACTTCTTAGTTAAAGCCTCCTCTACTATAGAAGAAGAGTCTTTACTATAAGAAATACTAAAAGGGTCTACCCCTACTATAGGAGAAGAGCCTTTATTATAAGAAATACTAAAAGAATCTATCTTTATAGTAAGAGAATTAATATTACCTTCTATACTAGACTATATATATTTATTATTATTTAGAGAATCTTTATTAGCACTATTATCTAACTCCTTATTATAATTATTAGTTATTACTACTAACTCTATAGATAAATTATATAACTTATTACTATAATTAGTAAGGAAACTAAGACTACTAGCTTAAATAATAAGTTTATAGGAGTAAAAAAGATTAGTAACTATAGATAAAAAATATTTACTAAGGAGAATATATACTTATTAAGAGTATTAGAATCCTATATATAAAGACCCTATATATAAAATAAATATATTAATCTTTAATTACTCTAAGTATAATTAGCATAGGACCCTTAAAAGAATATAAATTTATTATAACTAGAAGTAGAGATGCATCCCCTAAAGGAATCCTTATCTAAAAAATAATTATTATAAGCTAATATATAGTTATAAGATGCACCTTACTACTAGAGAATAATAGCTAATATATGGCCTAAATAAGTATATTCCTTTATATCTAGCTTCTTATTCTTATTAAACTTCTAGATAATTAAGTAAATAATATCTATCACCTTTAATATGCTTTTATTAGGCCTGCTAAGATAATCTTCTACTACTAATAAGAGATAATTACTAAAGTAGGGAAGGATACTTACTAAACTTACTAAAAGTAATTATACTCTTCTAATAAATAAGGTAGCCTTTATCTTTCTTTTATAGGATACTTATATTTACTAAGTATAAGAAGAATATAAGAGACTAGTATATAAAGAAAGAGATTTACTAAAAGAAGATAATAATTAATATAATAAAAAGAAAGATGCTTATAGGAGAAGAAAGAAGAAGAAAAAAAGAAGAAATATAAGAGGTAAAAAGAGAATAAGTAAGGTAAAAGTAGAGTTACTTAAAATTAAAATAAATAATATGTGACCTCACCTCACCTCTACTATAATAATCATGCTAGTAACCCTCCTTACTAAGTAATCTAATACTACTTACTAAGTATAATCTAATGCTACTTACTAAAATATAATCTGATGCCACTTACTAAGTATAAATCTAATCCTACTTACTATGCATAATGTTACTCCCTTAGACTATAAGGATCTTTTAGTAAGGAGCTAGATAACCTACTAAGGATGGGCTTCACCTTAAGTAGGGGAGGATGTGATATTAGTAAATAAATATTATAAGTAGATTAATAATTACTAAGATTAACCCTAGGTTATTAAGGTTAACCTAAGAAATCTCTATAATATCTATAACTTATCTTTTAGATAGATAGCTAGTAGCTAGGTATAAATAGAAGATCTTACCCCAGGTAAGTAAAGAGGCATTAGCCCAGCCTATCTCTCTTTACCCCTGGTGATACTACCTTACCCTTGGTAATTCCAAATTATAGAATGTATAGGTAACCTAGCCTACTATATGAATCTACTACTAGGCCTTAAGATATATAATATATTCTATATCTCTATGCTCTATAAATATAAGGAGATAGAAGAGGTAAACTTATAGGAATACTTCCCTATCTAAGAAGCTATAGAAGAGGACTATGAATACTACCTAGAGGTAATCTTAGACTTATGAGGGGATGGGTAATCCATAGAGTATTATATTTAATAGAAGGAATATACTAAAGAAGATAATACTTAGGAACCTATGAAAGGCCTACACCACCTATAGATCTATAAAAACTATATAAGGAACCCTATAAGGAGGGGAAACTTATCTTTATTAAGGAAAAGATAAAATAATAAATAAAAGAAATATAAAAAAATCCCTAACTCCTAAACCTATTATTATAAAGATATCTAATATTAAGCATAAGTATAATATAGTTTATAGGGCTAGGAAGGTAGCTACTAGACCTAAGGATACTTAAAAGAGTAGTTCTTATAGCTATAATAGAGGTAGTTATTATACTTCCTAGCTAGCCTGCTAGAAATATATACTATAAATACTAAGCTTATACTTAGGTTATAATAGATACTATACTCCTAGCTAGTAAGAGGTCTTACCCTAGCTCTAGTTATAAGGATGACCTTATAGAGCTAGGTATAGACTCCTAGCTAACTAAGTATACTAAAGCTATACTAGTTAATAAACTACTAAACTTTAGAGTTTAGTAATAATCTCTTTAAATAAGGACACCTATATTTAAATCTATTTATAATCATTCTTCTTTCACACTAGTTTCTAATTCTCGCGGATCATAGATCCTTATATGATTCCAATAGGGACTCTTAAGAAGAAGAAGATTATAGAATATCTATAGGATTATTATCTAGATGGTTTAAGTCTATATTTATATATTAGTTTAGACTTACTTAAGTACTAATATTAAGAGATTAAGATAAAGAGATTTTAATCTAGTAGCTAGAGATACCCCCTTTTTTTATCCTTAGAGGTAAGAATATATTAGCTTTAGTATACGATGACACGGTTAGCGGGGCGCTGAAAACAGCCCTCATTGAACCGTCCGTCTGCCACTTTCCACCGCCTGCCCTATGCCGAAGTCTCACTACCCTTCAAGGCCTAGCGTGTCCGCTTTGGGGATCGCGTCCGTATTCTCGCCGCTTTTGCCCCCATCGCCTGCCGCCTCAATCCCCCGCTCGACCTATATAACCCTGTCTTCCCTCCCTCGAAAGGCTACGCACTTTCTCATCCTCTTTCTCCTGCTGCCTGCCTTGCTCCCGGGCACACTAGCCCCCTCCCACGATGCCGCATTATCCGAACACTGCCCTTTTTCGGTATCTTACTGTCCGTGTCTCCTCTTTTCTCGCCCCATTCAGCATCGGAGTCGCCGAAAGCTCGACCTATCAGTGACTATCGCTCTGTTGGTATCTCAGCTATCTGTTTCTGCCCTGTTTATGCGCACTCTATAGCGAGTGGCCATCTTGAGGCTACTTGTGCTCGAGGCATCCCGGCGAATCACGCCTTGTGTTGCCATGGGCAGTGAATGTGGATGCTTTGTTTCCCCTGCTTCATCTCTTTCTGATTGTAGTGTTCAGCCTGTTTTTTGTGTCTCTACCATCTCCGTGGACGTAAAATCCTGAGTGAGGCAGCAGGGAATCTTTCGCGCGGTTGGAATTGCTTTTCGCTGACCCCTCGCCGCGGGTCTGTGGGCGCAGCTGACCAGCATCGCATCCTATGCCATCTATGGCTGAGCTTTGACCCACCATCCTCTGTACCCGCCGAGCGTACACTCTCACCTCGACTGCTGGCCAATAGCAAAATTGCCGCATGAGCTTTTGGAAAGCTTTTGTTTCCAAGAAATTTGGAACGCGAGGCTGGGGGGCAGCAGGCCGATGTGGTTGACGAAGACCGGTCTATCCCAATTTCCGGGCAAATCGACCAAAGGTCAGAACATTGGCTGATTTAGGAGTAACCGAAACAGGGACGAAACCTGCTTGCGAGTGTAAGGTGGGAGCGACGAGATAATTTACTGACGAGCGAAAGTATAAGAAGGGATGATTGAGCTCCCGATGATATTAGTATGGAGGTTGCTTTCCTTCAACACTTGCACATTCCCTCTTGCTCCAACCTCATTCCCACCTTATGCCTGATCCTCGCGCACCCATATTCCACCAGATTCCCCCACTCTCCTCTCACTCCAATATGTTACCTGTATTTCACTCTGATAACTTCAAAAAATGGACTCCCCCATTCCGCACGAGATCCTCCTCCAAGCACTCACGCATACACCCTCCTTCCGATGAGTCCCCTGCCATCAAACTTCCTCAGTCCGCCCTTCCCCAAGCGATTTCATTTCCCAAACATCAGCTTCCGGCGCGGCCTCCAGCTGAGGTTTGTTTTCATTCAAGTGCCGTGATGCCATCAGGCACCCTCTGTGGCTCTCAGTCTCAGTCACAGAAGTTATCTAAGCCTTACTCTGCCACAATACCTGCCACAATACTTGCCACGATACCTGTCACAAATCCCGCCATTACGCCCGCCACATTATCTGACACGCAGCACGCAGAGCGGCTGGAACAGTTTACGGGAAATGGAGCTGGTTCAACCTCACCGCCGGATTCATCCACGTCACGCGGATTCAGCACTATTGATGCCTCAATTGATGCGCTCTTTTCCCCAGAGAATGCCTTGACTTGCACATCGACATCCGGTATATCTAGCTCGGACCAGGGTTGGCAAGAATTTCTCCAACCGGCAGACGAACAGAATAGCATTCCGATCGACCCACTGATCCTCACCAACAATGGCTTCTGGGAGACAGAAGATGAACGCCTGCATATCCATACGGACGGCGATGCCGTCGTTTCGGAAACGTTTTATCAATATCCTGACCCTCCACCACTTCTTAGCGACATGCATGTCGAGAAAAGAAACTCTAACGCATATCCTGAAGCGCAGGAAGGAAACTGTCAGTCGGACAGCACCCTACACGACCAGTCACACGTACAGATATCTGCAGACGATAGCCCCAATTCCCATACTCGTGCGTCCAGCAACGCCCTCGAGGTCCCAACAAGCGGCGAACAGTCAAAATGCCGCAAGCGAAAGGTGCAACAGTCGCATGGACAACCACAACTGTGCAAACGGGCCAGAGGTTCTTCCGTCGCCGCCTCGGAGAATAGTTCTTTTTCATCGCTTTGTTCTCACTTCACATCTGTATCGGCTGATGAAAGCTTGCAATTTCTTTCGTGGCTGTTCGAAGGTGCACTGCTACGCTGTTTATCCGAATCCGATTCAAAAATACCTGAATGCATAGTACGGCCGGCACATCGCTTGGCTCAGCCAGCTGATTTTACGGAGGGCAGTGGAGCCTCCCGGAAAGGCAAGCCGTGGTCATCTGAAGAGGCAAACCTTCTACTGAGGTTGAGAAGGGACGAGAAACGACCTTGGTCGGATGTGACAAGGATTTTTTCGGACCAATTTCCGGGCCGGAGCCAGGGCTCCATTCAAGTATTTTGGAGTTCGACCCTCAAGATTAGAGCATAATGAACGTGGTATCTCTGTCCTTCTCTTGACTACCTTTTCTTTCTTGTGTGAGTGTGTGAGCCTTTATAGTGCGATATGCAGTCGTAGAATAATTGAGGCGTGGAGGGTGTGGCACGACGATTGGCTGAACAGTAGGCGGACGAGTAACAGGGGCATCAAGTCGTTGCTTCCACGGGACGAACCAGATGATCCCATCATCCCCGACGGCCACACTGAAACATCCACCCAGAGGATATAACTCCCCCTCTTAGGACTTCCCACTAGATAGGATGACTCCTGCGACCAAGAAGTGATGTTTTCTGTTTTTATTTTGAGATACCCCTCAGTATTCGCATAATATGCATTTCCTCCTTGATAACATAATGCGGATTTTCGCGACGCTTGTGTTCACTATGTATCAGAGTTCTCCTTGCACCATCTTCCATTTATCGATAATAGAATATGCTTCAAAAGGACAAGTACATAATTTGAAATAATTACAAGGATATACTGAGATTGCGCATTTCAGCTGTGCTCTTAGAACCCTCCGTGACGATTTGCACGATGTGATCGAGCTTTACTAATCGACGAAAAGCTCACCCTGCAGTCCGTACACCAAGAATGACTGTCAGTGTCATGTTGCCGAAGAGCCCTTCTATCCATGAAGTGTCTTTTACAGACACTGCAATAGACATTATAGTGTGGTCGGCTTCTCTCTTGAATATGCATGACTGTCGGCTGCCACAGAATTTGGGTAGTTCTTCTATTGCTGACAGACATGGTTATTCAGATTTCGCGATTGTGTTAGGCGGGGAGGCATATGCCTACCACAATTCCTGTTCTAGCTGAAGCACTTTCTTTATCATCAAGGAGGAGAAGTCGTATGAAAACGTGGTAAAGGTTTTCAAGGTCTCGTGGAAATGCTGCTGGTGTTCAAGAGTTGACAGGTGCTGAATAGCAGATCTTGATAGAATGTCTCGCAACTCCGAGTGGGAAGGGCTGTTTGGTCCGTAGACATACTGAACTGTGTTGATAAATTCTGTATCTGTCCAGCTTAACTGGAGGCAAGACTCCATCTTCTGCTTAGCCAATATTTTTAGTCCCTCAATCTGATATTTATCGGCGAGGATATATATTTCTGCATTGATACGTGCCCTGCGGTCTTTGACAGGGAAGCTAGAGACTGTAGCCATATCACTTCCAGCACTTTCAGCAATTTCTTCGATACTTGATGTTTCGGTTTGCTCTTTCTCTGACTTTGGTAGCTCAAGAGAGCCTTGAGCTAATTCCTGGATAGAGGACTCATAACAGTCTTCATAATCGGCGCAATAGAGATAGTCTATCATCTTTGCAACGATCCGTGGGTCATCTTCGAGCGCGACCTGTCCCGTTGTAGCTTCCTGTGATCTATAAGAGAGGTTTCCAGATACAAGCTATTTCTTTGGTACCTGAAACCGACCATTTATGGCCTTATCAAAGAAGTTCGACTGGGGACAGACAATACAGCGATGCACTCTGAAAATGGAAGATTCGCAGAGGATTGTGAGATCTGAGTATGTTCCATATTTCCGAATACTTCATAAGTCAGATATCATTCGATTATGTGGAGGTTTGAGCTCACTCTGACAACAGAATTCTTAGATGTTTGAAATCAGTAGCCATCCTCAGCCTCTGTATACTTGCGTCGTTTATTCAATCGTGGAAAGTGCAGCAATATTCTAACAAAGATTAGCTTTCCTGATGCTTCATCACCCAAAGCGGGGTGAAAGTTGTCACGGGCTGGCCACGCAACCCTCGCCTTCAAGCGGGCCTATCCTACACTAGCCCGCTTCCTGTTTCATAACATCATTAGCCTATTACATAAGCTGTAGCTGATAGTTAAATAGGTGGTATATTGGGCCTTTGTGCCAATAAGAACAAACCTCTGCTAAAAGCCTCAGCAAGTGTCTCATTCGTGGCAGCTCTCTTGGGGCTCCTTATCCACTTCATCTCAACAGACCGCAAGCCCCACCAACCTCCGTCACATCTGACGTCCTATACACCATAAATCCAAAAATGGGCCTAGGTCCGTATCTTGCTTACAATGGGGTGGACTACGAGTGTTTAATCTGCGAAAGGGCTTTCATTTCCGCCGATGCGCTCTATGCCCATTGCAGGCAGACTTCACTGCATGAGTGGTGTGAAAGGTGCTGCCGAGTGTTCATTTCGAACTCAGCTAAATTTGCGCATCTACGAAAGTCTAACAGACACCATGTCTGTTCATCTTGTCCTCAACCGAAAGACTTTGAGTCTCTTGAAGAACTCGAAGACCATCAGGTAGAAATCCATTACGCTTGTCTCGATTGCAATCTTCGTCATGAGTCCGCTATAGAGCTTCAAGAACATGACGTCAGCCAGCACCATCTCTGCGTGATATGCGATATCTATTTTAGCAGTGAGAATAATCTACGAATGGTAATTCTAAGAATAGCGAAACTCTTCTTTCTGATAGTGCTAACAGCATGGTCTCTTCAGCACCAGCAAAGGCACCAAGCCCGAACCACGGAATGCTACGGCTGTTACCGAAGTTTTAAATCTTTTTCTGGAATGTTGATCCATTTGGAGGCTGGAAGTTGCGCCTCAGGCGTTACTGAGGGGAAGATTGATAGAATTGCTGGCGAATTTCACCGGAACCGAAAATACACCGTTTTCGGGGATGGTTCGTGGCTTTATAAATGCCCAAACTGTGACAAGGAATTCTCTAAACTATCGGCGCTTTACCAACATGTTGAGGATATGCCAATGTGTTCCTTTCTAAGTCGTGGGCACGGTTGCTTGGCTAAGCTGGAACGGTTTGTCGCTCGTAGCTTAGAATAGGTTAAAGGGATACTTCTTCTGGGCGCTCACTCCTTACAATCGTGGATCGCATCTCAATGCAATGCAAGTATCTCTTTTCTTACAGTAACATCGCTGTACTAAAATGTTTCTACTTCGTGTTCCTCTATGCCCCACCTTGACCGAGGGTCGTATTCTACTCCATCCTATCGCTGCGGCAACCCCCATCCACTGGAATTGCTTGCTTGTTAATTAGAGTACCTTGAATTACTGTTATAGCTCGACTGAGATCTATGGATCAAGATTGTCACATTCGAATAAGCGCGTTATGCTCTCGCGCTTTAAGATTACAACTTTCTGGCGGGTTGCCGTCACATGACCTAATACTGAAGTCTCCCACAAAACATATTGGCTAGCTCATCCCAAGTTATTTCTTCTCAAGGTCTGAGTAGCAGGTGTCCTAGCAAAATTAGGAGTGAGGTCCCGGTGTGGGTTAACATTATCTACCAACTCGTCACACGAAGGATGCCATTGACTATCAGAGTTGAAACTGAAGACTTGCCCAGTGGGCTTCAGGCAAATAGCCAGTGCGATATCTGTTTCGCACAATTTGGAGTACTCGGAAGCTTTTAAAGAGGCTACACTTTCGTCTAGTGCATTGTTGACAGGTCGACCGTGCGCTACTGGGACTTCGCTGTCGTATTTCTCTCTGCTGCCACTGTTTGATCAGACATTTCGATGGGATCGAAGCTCCGAGGCACTTTTGATAGCACGAGTAGAATTGGTTGTAGTCATCCTTTCTCAAACTTAGCCCTTTGTGAGCCTCATCTTTAACATCTTGGAAATGTCTGTATAGAGTGTCTGGTCGTGGGAAACCTCGCAGACATTCTGGACACAAATACTTGATCGTTGATTGCCGAAGGACCTCTTTCTGTGTATTGAATTGCCTCTGGAGGCTAGACATATTGGAGGGAATGAAGTCAAGGGAGAGGATTAGCACTGCGGGGTAGAGGATCTTAGGGTGGGCCTCTCTCCTCTCCTCGTCAAGTTTGACGGTGTTTGGTATGTTGTTAAGTGGTACTGTATTGGCAACAGGGACCTGCCGAGGATCTACTTTCCGCTAGTGCGGAAAGGAACCTCTGTGTCTCTCGCCTTTACCATACTGATACATTATCCTTTCAGCCAATCAACGGAAGAAGATCCACTTCTCGTTCTCTTCTCGCTTCTTATCTGACTTGGAATGGCGCTTAAAACGAGGAACATATACTACAAGGACTCCCGGCAATTACTGAGCTCAGACATATGGCGGATAATGAAAGCAACAACCAAGCTTGTCAGTGAATATATAAGTTTTGTGGGAAGCAACTACCGAACTACATTTTACCAGGTAAGAAATTCGAGAGTCAAGGTGGCTGAGTTCCACTACGAAATCCAACGTAGTCTCCATGCGTAAAATTGGGAAGTACTTCTCAAGCTTTCACTAAAACCATCCAAAATTATTTGCTAGCAGAAGCCGCCCCATTCACGTTGGAATACGTGGTTCATCAATTGCTGAAAGCCGTCTTGAAATGAAGATTTATTGTTGTGGCTGGCTTTCGAAAGCCCCGGTTCGATTTCGGTAAAGGCTAACTCTCATGCTTCAGAGGGCAAACCGGTTTCATATACCTCGGATGACTGAGAGGTACTGTTCATTGGAACTAAGACAGCAGGTTAAGTCAAAGTGATAAATATCCTTTTGTGGCTCCGACTGACCTTTTTCAGCATCATTGGCATAATGTTCAACCACAAACATAACCTCGAAACACTCGAAACCATACCGTAGCTTTTCGGCAGGAACTAAAGCCCCCAAAGCCTCTTGGTAGCAGTCGAGGAATTTTTTGAAATCGACTTTTCGCATGCTGAGGCCCTTATGAATGTCGTCTCCCTCGGTTTTGAAGTGGCGGTATAGGAAATCGGCACGGGGAAACCCTTGAAGGCATTGAGGACAAACAACGCGTAATGTAGACTTTTGTATGATCACTTTGCAAGCACTTAGCTGTTTTTCTAATTTCATCATATTGAGCTTTGATTGAGGAACCTGATGCCGTACTATTTAAACAAAGCTTCGGGGTATTGGAGGGATTAAATATGGTAAGAGACCGTTTTGACTATGGTGTACAACTCAGACTGATTATGAATCTCTCTTTCCAATTCAGTCAGAGATTGCTACCGCGAAAGCACCAACTTTCTGAGTAAAATAAAATCAAACTATTACTGTGCGCCGACAAGTCATACATATTCCATGTAAACTAATGTATAGCTGACTGCAGTCACAGGCATCGATCTTCACACCACCTTGCCTATTTAACCGAAACGACTGATTGGATCAGAAGGGCTCCGACTGAAGTTGTTCTTCCGTTTGTCCTTTGCCCTCTTCCGAGCCTTATTTAGATCTGAGTCCTTAAATCGCCCTTCGCGTATCGATTCAGCCAGCTGATCCAGACTGAAACAGTTCCAGCCAGCTTTAACCACTGCAAGTGTCGCTGAGCTTCCGAGTTCCTTGAACTCGCCCCAAGGAAGGCGATCATAAAAGCGAGACCGAAGGAATGTTACCATGAGATCATCAGGCCCTCTTTCCACATCAGCAAAAATGATGATCTAAACATGTCAGTGAAGAACTTCATACAATGCAAGAACATAGCAGACCTCTTGATCTTGCGGTGTAGCTTTGGTAAATCCCAGCCACTTCCTGAGGCCTTTCCAGAACGGAATAGTATTGGCAAAGCAGTCCATTACTCCTCTGAGTTGAGGTACCAAGAAATTAAGGAGGATTCAAGACTGATGAAGACTTGGGCAGCCAAAAAACTCGAGACAGTTGTGCATGCGTCATTCAATTCTGTGGCTCGAGCTTTTTTATAACCTGACTGACGACATTGACCTGGACATTTTCTCCTATCAGATCGAGACATAGCCTAAAGAATGAGTAGGATTCAAATGTAATTCCAAGTATATAGATCTGCCTTGCGATACAGATAAACAAAAGCATTGATGAATGTATGTTATCGGCGCTTAACCTTATACGTCTTGGCTGACTAAACTCACTCCAAAACTAAGTTAATAAGAGGACACTGTTTCCCGACAGTTTCCCGACAGTTTTCCAACAGTTCCTCAACCTTTTTCTAAACGGGATTCCTAAACGTCTGCTCAACCTTTCAGCTGCTATCTATACCATCAATTACTCGAGATGTCCACTCCTTATGAATCAAGGCACAAGCCAATGACAATAAGGGTAGCAATCACAAAGCTTCATGATGTTTCTCTTGCAATTAATCGTCGTGGAGAGCTCAAAAGTGACGAGACAAAGCGAGCCATAGACGCTAGGAATTTGCTGAACCGAGGACTTCCGACTCCGGGATCGAAAGGAGAAAAGAACCGTACAAAGTATTACAAGTTCTTGAGGAAAGTGGCTGAACTATGTGGTCAGCCTATGGTCGTTCTAGCTGCTGCCGCTCTTGGCCTGTCCACTGTTGCCAATATGAGGGACTGTGTTCGACTAAATCTTCCATTTGAAGTCGATACAATAAAGGAAGACCTGCTTCACTCAACTCTACAAAACATTACGAATTCTTTACCACAAGGTTTGCAGTTTCTTAATCTTTGTAGGGTCATTCTGACAATGCCATAGCGCCTACTCAAGCGAATGAATTCCCGAATTCGTTGCAGCCGTCAAAGCAACCGGCTGAGAAGCGGAGTATGTGATCAATCAGCTCGAAAGAAGACTCAAGATTAATATGGTCTAGATGAAACCCTCCCTGGTCCAGATACGCCCGCGCACAATGCACCGCGTGCTTTGACATCAAGAAATCCACATTCTCCCCAATCCGTATCCTTGGATCTTCGACTCAGAGATTTCGTTGAGTTCCTTCAGCAGTATGAAGAAAGCAAACAGCAGTTGCAAATGGAGTGTCCTTTCTCCGGAGATCCCCTGCCTTTCATTCGTTTTGCTGTTGGTCAACAAGCGGACCTCCATGCAAAACTCGAGTTCTCGCAACCATTGGCAACTCTCTTCATCCAATATGTTATGAATCGTGCGGCAGCATAATTTTCGTCTATGTATCTTTGCATCGAAAGAACCGAACAACAGGATTGCCAAAAAACATACATGTTTGACCTTCTTTCACTTCAATGATCTCTAGACCAACCTCATCGGGTCCCGTTACAACATTTGGCACGGGTTGAGGTGTATTAGGCCCAGTGACCCTGACCGCTCCCGCAGAAGCACTTTTGTAAACGAGAACGGCTCGGACTGAAGCATCTGTTGTCGAAAAAGACCTTGGGAAGGACTTTTGTAGATCGAGAGAAACATTTTGAAGAGTCTTTGGCTCAGATGTTAGTATCATCACCTAATCTCCGCAATGTGAAGTTATTCGCACCAACTCTCGAGCAGCATGCTCTAATTCTGCGTCGCTAGGCTCAAGTAACTGTATATGTCTGACTTGATTCGTAGCGGGCATAACCTAGGATTGTGAAGGTATTCGCAGGGGCCGATCTAATATCACAGTTGGGGATGTCGCGTGAAGATCTTCAACGAATGAATAATTTAATCAGCCCACAGCGATTTAACGTAACCAGGATTTACTTCATCTCGAAGCATAATCTGACTTAGTATCGAGGATCTCACTTTTATCAGCAGGCATGAAGATACTTACAGTGTTGCAGGAGTTGCCTTGTGTTTGAAATAGCGAGACGGTGACTTTGGTTTTCGTAACTCTTAGGACATCATCTGGTAGGAATAAAAAAATTGCGGGGCATAAGGAGTGCCCGACAAAAGCCGCAAGAGGAGGGGTTTTCCTAATTGGATGACCATGTTTTCTCAAATGCCCAACGATGACTAATCATACACGGGAGTCAACTAAAACCATTACCGCAGGCTGCTGTGGTTGGTCTACAATTATCAACATTTTCCAGACGCTTTCATAATTCTTGTTGAAATCTTTTGTGTTTTGGCACTGGAAGAAGCTGGATAATCAGCAGATTGTGATTATATTGGTTTGATCAATCTATACTAGGCTCTAATGTGTACAGAATTTCAGACTCATGATAAAAATGCTATTTGCGGTAGTGAGGGCGTCGAGGGTGATTAGGACCCTTGTCTCCATTTACAAAACCTAGAGGTGAAGATTGGGTTTGATGATCGTCTTTGCTTCGACAAGGGATGTGGTCGTGGTTGGTGCTCTCGATTCTTCTCTTGTCTACTGTGCGACAGGTCAATATAACATTCCGTGGAAATTTCTCCCAATTCCAAATATCAATATGAGTGACGATGGGGCTATAGAAACAGAGCAATATAGAATGTTTTAGTTTTTTAAAGTCGCAACAGGAGTCGATGTTAGAGAAAAACATAAGAGATATATGACCAGCTAGCTTTGCAGTCCTTGACAGCATGTGGGAAACTTTTTCAGGAGCTCCACCATCCTTCCTCTCAGTATCTACTTTTTGCTGTCTGTGGCGGGTTCTTGGGGTCTGTACACATGATGGGTTGTGATATGAGTTCCATCTTCTTTCTTGAAGTCCACTGTTAAATGTTCTTGTGGGTCATTGTCATTGCCATGCCATGTTCCACTGCTTAGTCGTTAGCCATGGTAAACCAACAGATGGTGTTGTCTTACGTAGGAGCGGACCTGATATGCGCTTCGTATACTCCTCGATGTTCTAGTTTCTAAGCATGTGTAGTCACTGCGGCGTCGGCTGAATCACTTTTCTGATGGCCTTTAGTGTAGCTGATCTTCTGAAGAGGCATGGTGGAAAGAAAGGTTTGAGTCTGACTCTTCTCGTTTCTGGATTTGAAAGTATATAATAGACTTTATAGAGACCGAAAAGCTCAACGTTTTTGATAATGAGCAGGTTAGTCCCTGTCTTTCGACTCTTTATATACTGCGCATTTCTTCCATCCACGACCCTCAGAAAAGACGCTTTGGCCCCTTGAAGAGGTATATTTCGGTAGAGTTAGCGCTTGCAGCGTTATGAATCATTTCCCTAGCAGATAAGCTCATTTGTTGCCAGCAATTGCACATGAGATGATAGCTGTCGTCGAGAAGACACGGTAGTGGATGGAGAAGAAAGACCGCACAAGTAATGAGAGCTATGTAGTTGTATTACAAGATATTGTTTGCTTGTTTTATCAGTCCTTTAGGCATGACAACTCTCATTATGGTTGTGGGGTCTTCACTACAGTTGATTGCAACTTACGGTAGGGACATGACGAAATTCAGCGGGCACGGCTTGAATTGTCAGTTGCTTGTACTTTTTTGTTCTGATGCAAAGTCATAGATATCGATTGTATGTGACTAGGATTGTGTCAGCCATAAGATTATACACAGCACCATGTTGGAAAAGCTTGACAATTATGTAGGAATCTTGTTGGGAGAATGTTGAGAAATGGTTGGGAAACTGTAGGTTTCTTAGTATGTTAGTCATTCACTTAAGCTGCATATGGTTAGTCAGAGCAGTAGTTCTGTGATACAGGTGGAACCGCTTCGTGACACCCGAGCCTAACGAGAAGGCGCCTCGAATGAGTAGGCGGTCGGTCGTGCATGTGACATGCGACCTGGTACAAATTATCAGCCCTTGATTCACTAAACAACCACAGAACATCTTTTTATCTAGGCTCTGAGTTTACCTTCCGTGCTGTGCTTCAAAAGACTGCAGGCCGCAAATCTATCATTTCTAACATGGGTGATGCCTTCAATGCTGAAATCCACCCTGTCTATCTTGGGCAAGTTTTGCACCATCGATATCGAATTCTACAGAGACTTGGATCTGGACGCTACTCAGCTGTTTACTTAGCGAGGGACCAAAAGTATGTCATTTCTTGCCATGCATAACAATGGGAAACTTACTGATTCTATAGGGAATCATCCTACAAGGCGATAAAGATATTAAAACCAGATTGCTACGATGGAAAACATGATCTGTTTGAGTTGGAGATACTGAGACACCTAAGCAGAGCGAATCCAGATCATCCAGGTTATCAGCACATCACCATTCTTCTTGATGATTTTATCCATATTGGGCAGTCTGGGAATCGACATGTATGTCTTGTTATGGAACCGATGGCAGAGGATATGAAGAGCTTTAGCTTTTTTTTTGACGGTGCCAAAATTCCTAATCGAATCATGAAACAAATCACAAAACAGCTACTGTCTGCTCTGGAATACGCACATGCATCTGGTATCATTCACACAGGTAAGTGAAATCGTTCACTGTTCGAGCCTTGTACGTTAATTTCCATATGACTAGACATCAAACAAGACAATATTATGGTCAAAATCCGAAACCCCTCTACAATCGATCGTTACTTAGAGGATTCATTGTCAAATTCAACTGCAAATCTCGGAGAGTATAATTTTGATGATACTTCTGAGCTTGTACACACAGATGTTGTACTTTGCGACTGGGGGTCGGCGAGCTGGGTGAGGAAGCATCTGACGGAAATGATACAGCCTAAGCTGCTTCGCGCACCTGAGGTCATAATTGGGGCACCGTGGGGAAAGGAGGTCGACATTTGGAATCTAGGAGCCCTTCTACCAGAGCTCTTGGATACTGTACAAATGTTTAGCGGTAAGGCGAATGTGACTGGTGGCATCTATCACATCAAGCATCACATTGAGGAGATCGACGCCCTCTTTGGACCCTTTCCTTCTGAGATGCTGGCCAATGGAAATCCAAAGCTAGTTGAACATATTTTTGACAAGAATTCTAACATCCGTGATCGTACCAAGCGTCCACCAGCAATGTTGGAAAGATGGATTCAAAGTCTTGATGGTGCCGAGAAAACAAACTTCCTTTCATTGATCCGCTCTATGTTAATAATCAACCCCAAAGAGCGGAAGTCTGCAATGTCTCTGCAATGTGCGTCATGGCTTACTGTATAAAGATTGAGTTAACGTGCATGCGTATTATCGTGAGTCAGATTGAATAGGAAATGATATGGCATGATATCATCTCATTTAATGACTTGGCTGATAATCAAGCAGGAGGAGAAGGCTCTAGATTTTAAGAGGTTCTTGGCGTGGGCAGTTTATTATCAAAGTCAGATCAAATAACGTTCCGTGATCATTGCCTGCTTACGTCGGAGATCAAAACCTGTCTGTTGTGATGAACTATGTTCAGGGAAAGCCTAAATGTTTGGATCTTGAGCTATCGCCCCTTAGGAAATCCAGGACCTAGCTGAACAACTTAGAAACAGAGACTATTGTGCCCAATAACTTTGCAGAAAGACAAAGGATATAGTTGATGGAGATCAAAAGTCTGAGCTTCTTGCCCTGACGAAACAGATTCTCCCACCGCAGAAGCTGCGTCTCAATAGGCGTCCAATCAATATCTGTGCCTTCAAACCGCTTAGTAAGATCACGCTGTGAACGTTCGTTCACGGCAACAACAGTAGTAGTATCATCTGAGTGTACTCGTCGGTTACGAGCTTTCTTTCGTTGCACAATACGTTCAGCCTTTTCTTTTATTTTTTCCCAATATGAACTAGGCTTGAACACCAGGTCTTGTTCGGTGTCCTTAGCCAAGACCCGATTATTAAGAGTCACCTTCCATTCGATGAGATAGCTTATAGACCCGGGAGTGTCCTCATTATCCGATACTCCCGGGTTGGCTTGGGTATCCTCAAGGAAGCCAAGGCGGTCTAATACGGGCCGATGCAAGGGGGAGGTTCGGCCACCGTGCGTATAGGTGGGCGAGGGACAGGCCACAGATGACGTTCGTTCGTGACCGAAGTCGCCAGGAGTAGGATAATACGAGGGGGTGCGTTCCCACCCACTTATTTAGGTGGCAAAGTCGCTATTTAAGGGCACGAAGCGAGGCAGAAGATGCCACCGAGGATCCTAAACGTTGACAACAAACGGCGTTAGCTTTTAACAGGAGTATGTTAAACATAGAGCATTACTGGTTCCTGACAAGCAGAATATGATAATAAATAGAGTCATTGAAGCTATGTTAGTCAGTCCCTACTCAGCGTTGCTGAGTGCCTGAACACAGTGGCAAGATAGGAACAGGCAGGAAGTTGACAGTTTGCCGTTTCCAGGGACCTGGTCACCCCTGTTTGCACTAGTTTGCATCGAAGCTTCCAGACTTCAATCCTTGGCGGAACTAGCGTTTTGGGCCTTACCAAGAAAACCCATGACGTAGTTCCTGATACGGTAACAGACATACATGATTACTAAGGGATTATTATTATTCCAAGGGTATTCTCAATATGGACTAGCGGATCTTGGCCTCAGGGTTTCTGAAACAAGAGGTGAAACTTAGGGGTGACACTGGTTTCGACTTTCCCTGTACCATTTTTGTCCCATTCTGAGACTGCCACCCTTAGCATATATCCCAGAAGCTCCCTTCTTGGACTTGGTTACACCAAGCCTTGATGATGGATAGTCAGCTGTAGTCAAGAGTGGGAACGAACGCCACTTCCCCGGGGTTCCATTGTGGATCTTTCCCGTCCGACATGAGGGGGTTTCCACAATGCAGCAGGATATGACCAGCCTGGTGGTGGTGGTGAACACTGTCATCCACCGAATCCGAGGGCATTGCCCCTGATGATTTGAATATTCAGGCAGCATGAATGGCAATAGACAAGAGCAAGTTTCGTGCGTCTGTAATACAAATCAGCCTTAGATGCTTGAGGAGATTCGGCCCTACATAAACTAAATATCTGTCATCAGTCCCAATATTAGAAACCTTCTCCAGCATAAACAGCTCCCATACTGGGAAACACTTCGATCGGATATTGCCTGCTTGACTCGACACCATGTTCCATCCTGTTGAACGTCCAGCAACCCCAGCAGTGCTGTCGACGCCGCTCCAAAAATCCCTGCCCAACATTCTCTCTAAAAATTCAGATTCAGAGTCCGATCCAGTCTCATCTACCTCGGACTGCCCCTGCTGCCGACTGCCATCCGTTCCTGAGCTATCTACGCTCGCCGAGGCTATCCCACAACTGGACCTGAATAAATCCGTCACGCTGGAGGAACAATTTTTGAAGTCATTGGCAATTGAGCCCGCGGTGGGATCCACGGTCCGTGCCGCAGCAGTGGTTCCTCAAGACCAGCGAGCCGCGGGACACTACCTACTAATCGATCTGCTTTGCCATCGGTTGTTCTCCACATTCGGGCATCAGGAAGGCATTCGGAACTATAGTGTATACTATTATGAACATTTCATCCCCGGCGATACTTTAACTGTGGTAGCCCGAAAGGTGTTTCAAAGACAGTTGAGCTGGCTAGAAGCAACAGTGGCCAGAGACAGCATTTTAGTGGCCACTGCAACGGCGCAATACGACAATGGTCTAGAACCCGAGGAAGGCATACAGATTTTCGCTGAGAAGCTTTTCACTGATAGATGTCTTGTGACTCCGCTAATCAGATCCAAAATTCCTTCGCAATCACAATCTAATTAAGGCTCTCAACGGGATGTAACGAATCAATCTGCTGTCCTCGTTCATCCAGTCGCTCGATTGTCAAATAGTTGAGATGATACAGCGACATCTAAAACCGAAAGGAGCTTAGTTATGGTTCGATGTAGAATAGAGCTTCGTATGCGGAATTCATTCCCTATCGAGTCAAATCAATCTACATTTATCTTGTATATCCCTTGGTGTCTTCAAATCCCTCCCTATCACCTTTATCCAAAGAGATTCGGTAATGGCCCAGGTGGTTGAATACCGTTTCGCTGTCGAGTCGCGTACCTAACGACTAGAGATACATACGAGAGGGGTATTCTATCACGCACAAGCAACTGTGTGTTTTTATTGAACGACGGCTGCGGTTCATAAGAAGTCCAGAATAACGTTTAGACTAACCGAGCAGGCGACGGAGATGTCTGACGGTTACATGTTGCCCAGGCATGGCCAAGGCCGTTGGTGATTGAGCATGTTCAGCCGAGTATTTACACGATATAAACATATTAAATAGTAGAGATAGTGAACAGTAGGCATATCAAATATATATCAAATAGTATATATACTGAATAGGAGCAATATATAAAAGTAGGCATAGTAAATATTACCTTTACTACTTAACATATATTAAGTAGGCATACTACTTGTTTATTACAGTACTGTGTGGTACCCTGAAGGTATGTATATTTCGAGAAAACGTTGAGCATATGCTGAAAATCTGCAGGCAAAGTGACCGCAGCCGTCAAAAGCACCCGGCCTGTGGCATCTTCCTGTCTCGTGTCAACGGTGAAGTGTACGTATACTCTGCATATGCACAAAACATGCTAACAACGGGCAGCTGCGACATTGCCGTGAACGGCACAAGTCCAGCTTATTTGGTGCCCTCTCTGCGATCTGGATTCCAGCAACAGTACTCTGATCAGATAGACTATCACAGTCTGGGTAAATAATTTCATTCTTAGGAGTCTGGTCCTTGATTCCATTGACATATTAGGTCGCGCGTCTCTATTGTCAGGGCTTTATTAGTCATATCACAATCAGCCAGTGCATGATATCAACTCATATCCTTGTCGCCTTTTTCCTTTCCCTTATATGGAGGGATTGCCCCTTAAACTCATTTAGTGTATCAGGGTCACAGAGTGCTTCATTTCTGAGCTGGTTCCGGGACATATTATGGGAAGCCGCAGCACTGGAGAATGCTGCTAAAGCTACTCTGGGTGAACCCACAAAAGAAAGACGAAGTTCGAATGGTAAATGTGTCATAGTAAAGTATATACATAGAACCTAAACCCAAAGCTCAGTAAAACTACGGAGGAGATCAGCCTTCAAGCTTCGACGAATAGCATTTGACATTGTTGAGACTTGAGGACCTCTGATTTAGTTTTATATCATATCTTCAGCACAAGGCTCAAACGAAATAAATGCTCCCAATCTATCTAGTCCTTGTTTAGATGCCATTTTCTGTACATACAGCTTTCCGGGGATACAATCTTCAACCCGTCCGATGGGTGCCAAAGGTCCCCATCCGCGGGTATGCCCTGATCGATGCCTTGTAGGCGTATTACTAAATGTCGCGGCACTCTAGCCCCCAGAAAGCACCCAAGGAGAGTGGCTGTATGGTCATCCCCTATATTAATTTTACCGTGGAGGCGCCAAAGCTGATGCGCCAGCTAGAACATGCTAGAAGTTGATAACAAGTATTAGATCAAGAGAGTCAATAAAGTAGTGGGGAGTACATGGCACTGTCTCGCGAGAGAGAAGGACTCTTGGCTCTGGTCACATCCAGCCGATCCCTGTGGCAGCTAACGAAAAGAAGATATCTAAAGTAATAGCTCCCTGTTGCTGTTTGCTTCAGGACATCGCGGGTTAATGCATCCTTCGCATGAAACAATAATTTTTTCGGAGCCTGTCCTGGATATGCTCAATTTTATTTTAGTTGATGGTCGGATCGATGCCCAGTTTGTGATCGGGTAAGATAAGTAGGTTGCCACTGCGGGTATTACTAAAACTGGACAACGCCGGTTGAAAAATAGTAAAGACAAACTTCAGAGTATAATAATCTGAGTGCCTTATAGCATTACAGAAGCGACGGCATCTCTTAATACTTAGGTAAGTTATTTTGTTTTTTAGCATCGCACCCGCGTGCTGGGTAAGAGGGCCTTCTTTTCTTGTCTGTCACTTGCCCGGCACCCAGCCATCATATTATAGGTTGAGATTTGGAAATAGAGTCAGACGGGCTACTTAGTCTACCATCTATTATCTTTATTGGTCCGATATCGTGCTGCAAATATCTAGATAAGGATCCAGATAACACCCAATAGGGTACAAATACTCCTCTGCTTCCCAGACTGTTAACACTGACCTGCAGGATGCCTCCCACAAAATCTTCCTAGTACAAGTGATTTCTCTACATATCACAGACTAATTGGTATGGGATATACGCCACTATTATTCTGGCCATTTGGCTCTTGTGGAGTCTGGTATCCTGTGTTGGCCGGTGGGCGATCTGATGGCATGTGATTCAGATATAGTAACTCTTTGCCTATCCCCTGCTGAGACTGTTCAGCCACCTTAATATGGCCACTATCCAACAGGGTTCAATGGTCACACTTCTCCTTACAGCAAATATCCTGCCACTGGTCCTGCAGACTCAATCCTAGGCCACTCTGCACTGGCGCGCCTCTAACCTTGCGGTCATTAATTTCATTCTGTTGTAGATGGGGTGGACCTTTAGATTCCTGGCGCATCTTCTTAGCATTGATTAGTCGGCGGTAGCATGGACATATTGATGGTGTCCTCTACGGAGCAATTGCTGTCCTGAGTGACAGCTAATCAGTGTAAGCCATACAACAGTATTATGTTCTATATCTAGTAAGATATTTACTCTGATTCCTGAAGAATAATGTATGCTGTTTTCTGGATATTGATTGTCTGCTAATCAGTAACAGGCAGTATGTTTGATAATCTTGATTATTCCCGTGACTCTGCATGCCGTGATTTGTTATTACCTGCAGCTGGCAATAAAGTGCTACTGGCAACAACCAGACTGGCTTTAATATCTTACCATCTCTAGATACGCCAGTCCAAATACATCTGATATTTGGTGGCGGCAGTGGCTATGTGGATTTTTCTCACCATACTGTTGTTGGCTGTTTCCCTAAGAAGGCACTGGGGGCGCTCCTGGCCTTTAGTTATCATATCCTGGCACCATGAGCTTCTCACTATCGACATCACCGTTCTCTCTAGGTGGAGAGTCAAGCCTGGCCAACATTTTTACCTCTGGCTGCCCTAGGCAGGTCTGCGACTTGCTGGCCAACTTCCACTTTTTTATGTCCTGTTGTGGGAAGACACACCAACCTCTGAACTAACACACTTCTCCGGTCAGTGTGCATAGGTCTATGTGTCTGAGCTATTGGCATCAACCAGCCAAGAAGACACATTAAGTGATGCATCACTCCCTGCTGTTAAACACAGGGAAGAATAGAGAGAGGCGGGGACAGCGCCAGGACATAATGTAGTTATACACACTAATAGCCAGCAGCATATATTAAGAGATAGGACCTTATTGAATACTACAGGTCACTGAATGCTATATGTGCTGACCTGTTCACAGTCTTCAGTATTAATAGCAGCACTTTGTAATACTAATTATTAGCATAATATTCAATATAGTGTGCTCATGCTGGGGCTATATAGGAGACTGCTGGATCTTGCCTGCTTCAGCATTATGCTCCTTATCATAGAGGATATCAGAATTGCGTGGGTCTTCTCACTTATTCATACCCTAGTCCTCGCGAGTAAATAACACCATGCTATAGTCTGGAAGCTTATTATTATCTGGCAAATAGAAGATCTAGGTACCATGTAGTGCAGCAAACCCTCTTGTCTCCTGTAGAACAGTGAGCTGAGCTAAATTAGTCTAAATAATTATTGGTGGGTGAACATGCAGTATTCACTGGACCTTAATCACCAAGAATTTAAGGTACTATAACCGCCGATCAGACCACAATTCATATGCTGACTGTGATAGATCCTTTAATTCGTCCTTTACTACCGTCAAAACCGCAAAAATGACTCCTCACAGAACCGTGGCACGAGGGTTCAATTTATAGAAGGGCTTGTAGATGTGGCACACACAGGCCATAAGTGCTTGCCTAAATACGCGTTAGGGGAGCATGTTGGTCAGCGATATGAACCCTCTTCAAGGATTAGGAAAAGCTAGTACTAGATAAGGCCCATAGGCCCCAGAATTGGGTCCTGTTAACGACCACCGGGAACGTCAGATGTTGGGAATCCAGGATATAGATCAGTTTTGTCCAGCTGGTGAGGGTAGCGGCAGAACGGATTAGGAGAAGATCGACCAAGATACCGCCAACCACGATGGCATAAATGTCCTGTCCTTGCCTTCTTCCTTATGAGATAGTGAACATGGACTCAATCTGGATGAAGTTCTCCCAGAGAAGTTAGCCCACGCATATGTGAGATGCTCACAATGCGGACTTGGACTTCGCAATGTGGCTCCAAAAATAGAATATATGCTGCGGAATGCCAGACCCCAGCGCCTCATCGTGCCGCAACGGTCCTCAGCGCCGTGACCTGAAATATATAAAAGAGGTCGATCCTCCCTGGATTGAGATTCTTTTCCAATTCATCTGCCTGGCAAACCACACCATGTCTAATAAACCATTGTTCATGAAAAAGCGTCACTCGGGCAGTGCCCGAGCAAAGTCACAGCGACGCCACAGGCGTAAGAGGGGACTCTTCAAGAAGGCTGCAGATTTCAGCCTTGAATGCGAATCTGACGTCTTCTTGGCCGTTCAGATCCACAAATCTGGACGATTGTATATCTTAGATACATCTTCACGGAAAGAATTCTCGGGTACATTATCAAATTTGGTAAGGTCTGTTGGATTCGTCACATCACAGGACTCATAGCTTTAGGCGACTTGCTATCCTCGGCCCGCCGAGGAGAGCCTGGACGACATTATATCTCAAGCAAATGCTCGTCTCTCATTGAATCCGTCGCTAAATGGAGATAAAGAGAAAACCGGGGCCTAGCCTAGTACGGCTGATGGTTTCCTCCTTAAACTATATAGTTCGCTCTTCACAGTGAAGTTATTTGCTGTCAACGAACCATGAATCTTCAAATATATGATTTCCGAGCGCCGAGACACCCATATCAGCGTATCCAAAAAAACTCCCTGCGGAGTATCCCTTCTGGATGAAGGTGCCTCAGGAATTTATTCGACCCTTGTAGCGGACGAGGAATTCGGGGTTAGGAGCGGTCCAATAAGGGTACCTGTGATTCTCCACATCCGCGGCGGGTATCTACCAATCATCTCCCGTGAACGCCAAGCAGTTTCCGACGCCTCACGTGAGCTACAGCAAAGGAAAGAACGATAATTATGAGACCCGAGTTCGTCCTAAAACAGTTCCTCGATACATCCATCGATAAGAGTCCCAGATACAGTGAAGTGCAAAGCCAGTGTCACGACCTCGCTCTCTCTTTATTCTCGGCCCCACCGCCAAGACGCCAATTTTAGAAATGGGTGCATCTGAATGGGCTTTGATTCATTACGTCATAAGCCCTCCACCGCCACAGACTTCAATGATCACCTGCAAGGGGGTCAAAAACATACAGTAACACTATGCATACCCTGTACTCTCTTTCAGAAGCTGCTAATGGCATTCCACCACTAGTCGATGACTAAGTATTTATCCCTCGTCTATTAGAAAACATTACAATCAAGAGAATATTATAGCTAAACTCGACATAAAGCCTCCAAGCAGAGATAGATACTTCAGATGTTCGATACAGTTCATCCATAATCATTCCTCCTCAACTTGAATGCTCGCATGTCGAAAATGCCCTTGTGCACTGTCTTTCCTGGACCCCACGATATCCAGACTCCATTCGAGGAATTCTTTGAAATCTCAACGTGTATGTTTCTGCCAATTTCGTCTCACAAACGCTTTGAGCTCTGCAAAGAACTCATCGATCGGGTTTAGATCAGGTGAATATGGTGGTAAGTACAGCAACTTTACGCCGGCATTTGAACATAGCTCCGTTATTCGGTCAGTATGGTGGAAGGACGCGTTGTCCACAACGAGAACGGACTTCGGTTGGGGCCATCGACCACAATGGTGAAGAAGCTGTTCGACAAAATCCTCAGACAGATTTGCATCAGTCGATCCTTGGAAGACTGGCGACAGCAAATTGCCTTCCTAGCAGTATGCTGGGATAGTCTGGTATCGCTGACCCCGCTGGAAATGGGACACCTGGATAGGTGCAACACAGCGGGGAGATCAGCCTGTCCTCCGAAGCCAGCCCATTTGTCACAACCTGATTCATCTATAAAGACCAAGTGATACAGGCGGAACTCTGACAGTTGGTGCAAATATTAGTTTTTCAGGTCTACGTTCCTTTCCTGTGCTACTCGTCGAGCCACTTTTTGGCCCAACCATGCGATCGAAGAGCTCGGCTGATAGTGTACGTGGACATAAGCACGTCGAATTCACCGTACAAAAACTCGGCCATCTCAACGAGGTATAAATCTGGTTTCTCTAGCAAGTGGTCGCATAGCGCTTCAAGCATAACGGGTGAAATGATGCGAGAACGGCCGCCGGGGATCAAGGGCGCTCGGACATCGCCAAACATACGGAGATTGGCATTAATCGTTATGATCGAACGTTTGCTGCAACCTGCCGCTTCCGCCATTTGAGAAGCAGTCAGCGATTTGCTGCTGATTATATCACGGATCATTACTAGCTGCGAAGGAGTAAGTCGTGGCGCTATAATGGTCGTGTCGTGCTGTCGTAAGTTGATGAGGTGACCAGGACAGGCACAGGATAGGTTTGCCTGAGAGTTGACCGACGACCAGCACCCCTTCGGCCAGTCATAGCTTTTGCTGACCATGAAAAGGTATAATTAGTCATAAAGGCCTATGCGGTGCATGGACCTTCACAGCCCAATCGGCGGGAGATGAGATGACATACCCCGCTCTTGGTCTCCAGAAATGCCCACCATGTCTTTGAACCCATTTTCTCCCTCTTGGACCGCTATCGTGCTCATCTGCGGGAAGTCCTGATGTTTATGGTGTGTCCCTCGAAAGGGATGGTCTATCCCCGACAGCTAGCGTTATCGCCGTTATCCAACTGATCGGAAGCCTCGTGAAGCTTTGCGTAGGCTATATCCAAGAGATACGAAATGCACGGGAAGAGATTCTCACCTTGCAGCGGGAAATTACAGGTCTTCAAGGTACACTTCAAGACGTACAGAACTATCTGCAAGAGAACAAGGCAAAAGACATATCTACGTCCTCACGACTACCCAGCGATATTACTGCTTGCCTCTCCGATCTCCAAGTATTAGGAGCGAGACTCGATCCAGGAAAGGGAAAGACGCTGATGAGGAAAATGGGCCTACGAGCCTTGAATGGCCATTGCAACGCACGGAGGTGGAGGGCCTAATACGGAACCCGGGGAGATATAAGTCATCATTCCTTTTATCTTTACAGGTTGACCAGACGTATGTATATCGAGAATGATTCTCTGACCGTGTAGAGTTGACTGAAGGACCCTATAGTTCCCTGATGATCACTATGGCCGAAAGTACGGATCGGATTGATCAACATGTTGATCTTGGAAAGTTGGAAGACGCAATAGATGCAGGATTCAAGTCATTCTCCGATCGCGACGAAGTCGAATGTCTCCCAAGCACAAGGACCGAGCTCCGGGAAATAAGAAGTGGGCTCTTTCGCCTTCCTCGAAAAGTAATTTCTGGTTGCGGGGGATGGCTGGGACAGGGAAATCCACAATTTCTCGGACGGTCACAAGGCCGGCCAAGAATCATAATCATCTGGGTGCCAGCTTCTTTTTTTAAGAGAGGCGAGGCGGACCGAGGGAATGCAAAGAAGTTTTTCCCAACGTTGGCCAGGCAACTGATACTATGGAAACCAGAATTACGACCTGCCATGCCAAAGGCACTCGACAAGGACACTGACATCGTGTTGAAATCACTCAGGGAGCAATTTGAGAAGCTACTCTTGCAACCGTTGCTCGGTCTTGACCAACGCGATCAACTGCCTCAGAATACCGTGATTGTTATAGATGCTTTGGACGAATATGAGCACGACCAAGACGTTCAAAATATTATTCGATTACTCCTTCGTCTGCAGGAGGTAAAATCAGTTTGCCTTCGGATCTTTCTGACCAACAGGCCAGAGCTTCCCATCAGCTTTGGGTTTTCAGAGATCGGGAGCCATGTATATCAAGATCTGGCCCTTCATGAGATAGCCAAAGACGTGACGGAACACGATATACAGTTATTTCTACGACATCAATTTACGAATTCCAACATAATAGGAAAACCCCTCAGGACTTGCCTGGCGATGATATCATCCAAGAATTGGTTAAGGTATCTGTTCCACTGTTAATTTCGACTGCCACTGTGTGCCGCTACATCGAAACCCGAAATGGGAACCTAAATCACGTCTCGCAGAGCTTCTCAAGAACCAAGCCAAATATGTGTCCAATATGGACAAGACATATCTGCCAATTCTAACGCGACTCCTTGATGACCAAGGGAGTGATGAGAGTGAACAACAACTTCTACAAGAGTTTCAGGATATTGTGGGTGTTATCATCCTTCTTGCTGTTCCCCTTTATAAACACACAATCTCCGTTTCTTGAGGTAGAAGTGCACCAGATCAGCAATCGATTGGATTCCTTTCGGTCGGTTCTTCGCATCCCCAGCGACGAAAATCAGCCTGTTAGAATTCTGCATCTCTCATTTCCGGAATTCTTGGTCCAGACTACAACCAAGTTTCGTGTGGATGCGCCAACCAAACATAAAGACGTTGCAAAATCCTGTCTGAGGACTATGCGGCATCTTCTGCAGAGAAATGTCTGCAATCTAGCAGACCCTGGAGTGCGTATGGCAGAGATCGATTCTTAGGATATCCACCAGTATCTACCATATTTAATATTACAGCATAAGAAAAACCCAGCCAAGGGGAAACCTATACCAGGAACATAAGACGTCTCTTTTAAACCCTCATCGCACGATACCCTAAGTCATGTGTAGACTAAACGTAATTATTAGTTCCGTCATCACCAGATAAATCCCTGGGCAGATGCTGACAAAAATGTTAGCCATGAGACAATTCCCTCGGTTCTGAGGGTTGTTTTGTTCCATGAGGCGTTCATGACGTGTCACTGCACTACCCCCTCTTCTCGGCTTGAGTGATATTGTGGCCATATTCACTCTTCTCACTTTTCAAGGTATTCACCGAGCCTTCCGATCAAATATAACCTAGGTACTTCTCTATATCCTGGTCTTGATCTTCGTGAACTTTATCTGAACACGATGATATAGAAAAAACATGTCTACGTTGAATGATCCTCTTACTGGAATTGAAGCCGCAGTTCAGCTTCAATACCTGACACAAACTGGGAATGTGGCCGACTACGGTTCGGAGTTTCTGCAGCTCTGGAGCAGAATTACACGGGAGACATATCTTGCATCGCTTTTCTTCGTTAAGCTCAAAAAAGAATTGCAAGACAGAATTCGTCGCTCAGGGGAACTTCCCGACACATGGGAAAAGATGGCAGAGAAAGCAATCGCCGTTGAACGTCAACTTAATGAGGAGCGATGGCAGAATGGCCTATGCTTCAATTGTGGAAAGCCTGGCCACATAGCACGAAATTGTTCCCAATAGTTAAATTCCAATTTGCAGCTCTAGTGGGGTGGGGGGAGGGAAGAAATGAGCTTGCGGCACTAAACTTCCATTTCTCCACTGTCGTTAACGTTCCATCAGTGAGAGGCTTAGCGCCGCGGTGGAACCATCAAATCCAGGAATTCATTGTTTGATTATTCCATCTGGTATGAAATGAAATTCAGTGCAACAAGACATCTTGCCGCCGCGGACTCATGTTTGCCTTTAATAGGCTTACATTTCGTTGGCGAGTCGCTGGCTAGTGGTTGAAAAGCGCCTGCAGACCTTGTATAATACGACAAGGATAATGTAGTGAACAGTCGTTTTCTCCCAGGTTGATCGCCCATGGTATGGGTTATGGCCCACCAATTTAGTATTTTCAACCAACGTGGGGGAGTGGATGCGGACAAAGGATTTATCCGGTAGATCAAATAAGTTTGGACGAGTTCCACCCAACTCATTACCTGACAGAAGGGTTATCTCATCACACATCTCTTCAAATCAGTAATCGATTTGGTTTAAACTTCCAGTAAATCATGGCGGTTGATACTAACCACCTTCTGGGCCTGCTGTCAAAGTGATCGTTTCCTCAACATCAACTTGTATAAATTGAGCTAATGTACGCTGTTCTTCAGAGCTTACGCGAAACTGGAGAGTTCTCGGATATTGAAATCAAATGCGGGCCTTCAAGCTTCCATCTTCATTGTTGTGTTATTTGCCGACAGTCTGCATTCTTTGATGGGATCATGAAGCATGATTGTAAGGTGAATACCATCACGGCTTGTATAAAGTCCGCACTGAATTCTAAGCTTAAATCATGAAAAGGAAACCAGATCACGCATTGTTACAATCTCCGATGATCCCTTCATCGCCTCCAAAATGTTCAATTATCTTTATCGTGCTGATTACGACGACCATCCCGAAACCCTAAATGACCTATGTGGAAAGGACGAAAACCAAGTGGGAGAATCGCCAAAAGTTGGTGCTGAGCATCAAGATACCACGATTGACACTCTTCCATCTCACTGGAGACGTGCACGTATTAATGTTCAAGTTTACGTTATTGCGGACAAGTATATGATAGATGCATTGAAAGAGGTATCTAGGAAGAAATTGGAGTGTAATATGGAAAAAGAGTGGAATGAGGTCGGATTCATCAATGTTGTGCGGGATGTGTATGGGCCTGAGTTTCCACGTGGCCCAGAGCTCTGCAATGTTCTAGCACGGTTTGCCCTCCAGCACGTTTCCACCCTCAAAAAGTCTCAGCATTTCCAACAAATCCGAAAAGACTACCCACAATTTGGGTATGATTTTTGTACCTTGTTGATGGAGAGTGCCACTGGGTTTGTGGGATTTTTTGGGGGAGCAAAAACAACACCCCCTGGTAGGGTCCACCCTTCCCTGAAATATCAGTAATAGTATGGCCTGAATGAGTTTTTTCTTTAGTGGAAATGAAATTGTCAATCGCGTGACACCTTCAATATCAAGCCCTTATACATACCGAGTTCCTATTCGACCTCGTCAAAGTTCTTATTGCAGCAACTGTGCCAGATCTTTCTCAAGCAACACAGGCCTTCGTCAGCACGATGCAGATTACCATAGCTGGTGTACAGACTGTAACAAGGGCTTTCCGTCGCGCAAAAAGGCTCGAGAACACCGATCGAAGAAACATGGTGGCTTCTAAGGGTACATTTCAGGACGTTGCATTTACAATACACAAAGGACGTTGGCCCATCTCCCAAGTAAGGCAATTCCTACCTTGACTCTTGGTAAGTAAAATTTTTATTACCAGGGTTAGCAGGTGCCACAGCTTTGCAGAAGAGGGTTCCCCGCTTCGTAAACTGAGCCAAGATTGGTCATTGTATGCAAGTATGTGTTGTTCAAATGCGACTTGTCCGCGGCAAACATGTGAGTTATGCTGAAATGAATGCCTTATATGATTCAATTTTTGAATCCATTCCCGTCATCTTGAACCCACCCAGCAACCAAGGCAACAATGGCTTCTATTCGGATCGCAGACATCCATCGCCCAGATCTGACAAATTCTGAGAAAATAGGGCCATCCATCACGGATGTGGAGCATTTGTCCTCTTATAATTGGATCGAATCGTCCACCCCCACTATTGCCGTCCCCGGCTGCCCTCCTCTTTGGTCCCCACCCAAAACGCCCAAGAAAGTGGCCAAAGACTCTGGGCTCATTTACATCGCTCAAAACGCGGTTCGCCATCCTGAAAGCCCTCTTGAACCACTCTTTCGCTCGTTGTATATTGAAAATCCTCTATACAACATACGCCTAGTTGACCTAATAACTGATCGAAACAATATTCGCAAACTTTTATCGTTCATCAACCCAAATCTCTCTAAAAATGGACTTGAACCTTTTACCATTGACGTCGAGGTCACGAACAATACGGCGATTTTTTGTCGAATGGAAGCCGAAACATATATGTTTATCGGGCCACACGAGTTCCGGGGTTACGGTCACGAGTTTGAGAAAGCGTTCACCACTACCCAGGTTTCCGCTAGTACTGGGCATCATAGGATTATCTCCTACAACTTCGGTGATTTAAAATTCATAGTGCGCTACGAAACTGACGCATATGTTGATGAGCTTTCAGAAGTTCAATCTCGAAATGTGGAATTGGAAAATGGGAGCTTACTGAGCATGATGAAAACCATGTCTCTTTCGCAACAAGAAAGTCGCTCTCGCCTTCCCGCCGAGTCCAAACTAGTGATGAAAGAAGAAGGCAAACAGGTACCAATTCAGTCAACTCTTGAGATTAAAACACGTGTTGCCCATAAGCCTATCAATATACAAGAAGTCCTTCCACAGCTGTGGGTATCGCAAACACCCAATCTTGTCCGTGCCTACCACAAGGGTGGCTTATTTGAACCGCCGGAAGTCGAAGACGTCACTCGTGAGATTACTAAATGGGAAGAAGACCATGCTAGTGACCTTAGGGGTTTGATTATACTGATCAAGGAAATCATTAGAGTGGTGAGGGAAAATGACGGGAACGCTGTTATCAAATATGACGGTCGAAGCGATAACCTTGAGGTTTGGAGGAGAAATGGACGCAAGATGTTACCAGATGATCTGTATTCGAAGCTTGGTGATAAAACGGAATCAGCGCAAGCGATTGGATCAGACCCTCAAAAAACAAAACTCAAAATTGGGGATACTTTCTACAGTATTGACATCTCGATGATGCCATATCTATCGTCCTTCGTTAGGTTCCAACGCCTGGCCCAGCCGCAAAGTACAGATTTCATCCACCAGAATATTCCTTTGTTTGATATTGGTGTGATTCCACAACTTCCTTACCCAAAGTATTGGCAGCTGCGAGGTGTTGGCCATCTGGATCTCCTGGATTTCAAGAGGTCTGGATTGCCACGGCACGCCTTCCAAAGAAGGGTAGCTATTACTATTCATAAGATACTCGAAGGAAGCTGAACTAATGTACTAGGTCTTCGAGTCTATGAGCACGGGGAAATGAAGGGCGATCCAAATGGGCATATTGCCAGCTGGCCCAAGCGGACCCTACGAATCCGACCTGCATCATGGGTGCCACGCCGGCATCACTAATTGCCCAATACCCGTTTCAGGTCTCGGAAGAATACTTCGAGACAGCCACACCGTACTTGGAACAACAGGTGTCCTTCAATGTTACGCCAACCTTTTCTGTCGTCCAGATACACATCGGTAAGTCGACTCCTAGGAATGGCTGAAGCAAATGTTAACTCCCGCGAGATTTTGGAATGGAAGGGCTCTCGGTACCGGTGGGCGACTGTGTGAAAATCTGGGTCATGTGGCCCCCAACAGAAAAGAATCTATCATTGATGGCAAATGAAAATGGCCAACTTGCAAAACTTATTAGATTAGCGCCTTTTCTAGAGGGAGGTATTATACTACAAACAGACTCTAACCAGGCCCTTACAATACCATCAGGTTGCCTACATGCGACATTGACGGTCAAGGGTGGATTCTTAGTGTCCAAAGATTTCGCCACGCGTTATACTATCCGGTCGTTTTCGCGGTACCTAGCATGGGGCCTTCAAGAAGAACTGGACGAAGAGGCCCAGAAGGACTGCTACTATCTCTACTTGGACTGTTTGGCCGTCGCTCTTGCTAATGGAGGTGAAGACCTCGCTATAGAAGGATGGATCGGAATAGAGAGGGTGCTGCAGGAAATAGCAAAGAGAGACAAGACTTGGCAAGATTTGGCACGCTCTTCTTGGAAGTCATACTTGAACAATCCTCGTGCATTGCATATTACGAACTGCCCGTGTGGCATTATTTGTGCGCATGATGGATTTGCGGGTCATTTTGAGAATACCCACATACAGTTCTTGAGTACCGACAGCTCTTCAACAGCAAGGAGATGTCGTTCCACGGTTCAGTGTTCCAGAGCTTAGAGTGATGGCCTCTGTGCAACGTGTAAACCACTGAATATTGCCTGATGACGTTGAGTAGGTTTTATACATAGTATCGTCTTTTTTAACTTTTGTTTAGGCAAATGATAGCATCCCGCCCCCCCGGCGAAATATCCTTCTAATCGGCCGCGGTCAATAAGAGGTAAGAGGACTGATCGAGAGTTTTCATGGAATCCTCTATGTTTAGAGGTAAAGGCAAAGATAGGAATATATATTGATATTAATGGTGAAATCAAACGTATTGGTAACAATGAACCAGAAATTATATCGTAGAGCATTACTTTATTCCAAATACGTACACTTCCTCAACTGCTGGACCCTGTTTGTTCGAAGGTAGGAACGAGTAAGATAATAAACATAGAATAGTATGAGCTTCCAGTACATTTTGACGGTGAAAAGGGTATGCCAAGGTTTCTTGAGGCCTCTAAAATTATGGGAACATGGTCTAATGGCGTATCCAGTCATCAACCAACAGTGGATGTTGGCCTTGCACCTGAATTCATCACTGGACATTAATCTCGGGTATATGGCCCGGATAGGTCGCTGGTGTTCGAACAAGGGACCTGGTGCCTTAGAAAAAGGACATGATGTTCACGCAAATAACAGCCATTAGTATCATGGGCAAAGAAACCCTCACATGAATTCAGTAGGCTGGACTCTTGATCCAAGAGAAAGACCTATGATTGCGATTATAGATCCTGCATCTATATGCGCAGACATCCAGGATCTTGTCATGACACAATGATTCGTGTGAATTTTCTGTCACTTTACCGTTAGTTGTATCCCACATCAGGACAGCAAGCTGATTAGTTAACATGTGGGTCTTGCCTTGAGGCCACGACTCCAGGTTTTTGCATTTGTAAGCAATAGACTCCTCTACGGTAGCATACCAAAGGATGCAAATGACTGCTCGACCATCGCCGAGGTCTCGGATATCACGAATTAGAGCAATACCATCATCGAAACCGTCACCAAAATAAATATAAACGATATCTCCTACCTCATATTGATCTCTGTGGACCACCGATTGAAGCTGTCGAAGTTCTTTCCATGGGTGTAGGCCAGGCTCAATTGGGTGAATCACATACCCCCGTCGGCCATTGTTGTGAACTTCGTAATATTCCAAAGCTTGAGGAACATCAACTTGTTCCTCGGTGTCGCCGTCTGGGCTTCTTACTTTGGGCTCCCAACCTCGCTTGATTTCGTCAGTATATATATAATTGGACTAGTTTTCCATAAAACAATATTGCCATCACTTACTTGCTTGATATCTTGACTTCTGTGATACTCAAGCATTTGTGAAGAGTTGATAGTCTTCGACTCGTCGAAGACTTGGAACGCCTTTGAGTCCGTTATGGAATCTTTAGGGTTAAAGGGTTGACCCGGTCGGCTAATCTCCTTCAGAGGGTTAGAAATAATTATTTGATTAGCTCCATGTGCTGATTTGTTGAGCTGATCCATTTCAGCTTTGCCGGTCGCGGAGTTCTTAAACTGGGATATCCTTCGGTTTTTCTCTTCAAATGGATCATTATCATTCCCACTTTCGTGGTTTGAATATAAAACAACACCATCCATTTCATATTCACTTCGCTGCAATGTGGATGCTGATTTGTGTTCCTGACCTTGATAGATCAGATAGGCGGTCAAGTCCATCGAATCAATAAGATTCATGTTTGGGATAGCAGAGTGGTTGACCAAATTATGGCAGATGGCTTTATTCGTGGGATTACCAAATTCCACAGGAGAAGTGTCAGAATGAACATTTCTATTTTCATCAAATTCGTTTCCAGGTACAGCGCTGACAATATTCGCGTGGATCTCTGAATCTTTGTCGTCAACCAGTTCACTTATGATTCTAGCGATGGCTGGGCAGCCAACAGTTTCATCCATTCCATTCTGATCGATCGGGATTTTGATAGTTTGACTGGAACTGGAGTCTCCTAAGCAGAAAAGTTAGTTGAACAATTATCGCTTAGATTATACTTGAATAATCAATTCATGGAGGTCCATTACAATACCATTTGGACAGTCGTTAGGCTGATTTTGCACTTCGTGCATCGAAACGTATTGCTTTTCAGGGTTGTGGAAGGGGTATGATATTCCATCTGCAGCGTGAAAGGGCTCTTATTTAAGCTTTATATGTGCAGTGCAGTTAGGAGAGCCTGGGTTAGTTACCTTTGGTAGGCAAGATGTCTTGGCTCCATTGTGAAAACAATTCATGGATGATATTTTCTCGGGCAGCGTTAGATAGCTTGTTCATCAGAGAAGAGAACGCCTCGATAACCTGTTGGACTCATTACACATCGCTCCAAATGCACGTAAAGGTGACAGGGAGATATACCTGCACATCACCAGAAGTCAAGTAATTTAGAGGCTCTTTGGTATTGCCGAACTAGAAACTCAGCAGGTACACAATTACGGACCTTCTTCAGTACTTACCTCTCCTAGGCATAACCCTCTTTGTAATAATACCATCTTTCAATACTCGACACGAAATCGTTAACCTAGCTATTTGTGTTTGGCACGGCACTAAGACCCGAGGGCTCCGAGGTATTTAACCCATTTTGGCCCTCAAGAAAGTGAGGGCCAATAGAAAGAGCCGTAGAATGAGATGGAAAACCCAGTAGTGACAGTGTACCCCATTCTATTGGCAGAATTCAGACAAAAGTGGGCCAGTGAGGGTTTCAAAAAATTGTAAAATACGTTATCGACAAATGGAGTCTGGAATTTGGTAGTTCCTGGTTGGTCTTGTCAACCAAATTGCTGAGCCAATAATATGGTGTGCCCGCAACGTCTCTCCGATTGTTCGAGGTTCTGCTTCATGTTGCTGTGTACTTCATAGACATCTTCCACTTTTCTTCATTATCCCTCAAATGGCCTGAGAGTCCCAAACTCCAGTTGTATGACCAAAATCCCAAATAACTCGATTTCTCCACAGCAAGGGCCGGAGAAATAAGGGAGTGAGCCGAAATTTGCCGAGGGTATATAAAGCCCACGATCTCTTCTTCTTTCACCTTGAGAATTTTACACCTTTCAATGATCATACGTGCCAAATTTTGCACAGTTGTAACCTGTAACTCGGATCAATCTAATCTCACTGGTTCTCGGGTTTATACAGTAACGCAATATAGAACTTTAACCAATATGACGCCCCATGATATTCAGTCATACCTAGACACACTGTCTGCAGACAGCCCACTTACAATCAGCTCTCTGGATTTGTCGCCTGCTACAACGTCCAATTGTTGGCATCCTTCTACAATCCGTCAACGCCGTAGGGAAGAGATTTCTGATGACCAGCCATTGACAACAGACTTAATTCATGCAGAATTCATTACAGTCAGGACACCCTCATCAATAATGCCGTGCTGACACTTACTATATTCAGGAGCTGGAGATCCATGAATAAATGATCAAGAGAGAGTTATCTGAGATATATAGCCACCCCGAGCGCCGCAACATGATTTCAAGGCATATCCTTCGGTTGAAAAGTATGATATACCAAACTGTTGATACCGAGGAACCCAAATCACCAGATATTCCTTTGGAACCAGCATCAGATGGTAGCGCACCATTTATAACAGCTAGATCACATCTTACGCTAGCCAGTGTATTGTCTACTAACGGGCAAGAGCCACAAGCGGCAGCAGAAGATCGAGCACACGAGCAAGAAGCAATCGAGGCGCAGATGCCCCGCTCATGGCCATCGCAGGAATTTGATAATGATTGGAGGAAGCTTCCACGGAGCATGAGGTTCATCTATACAGTCTCTGGGATACAGAAATATCTCAAAGATGTGCCCCTGCGTGTGCTATGGATAGGTCCATGACTACTCGTCTCTTCTTTGCCATCGCCTGTCCGTATGCCATGGCTCAGCTTCAAGAAATATTCGGTGTCATGCGCAGAAATGACAAGCTCCTCCCTTTTGTAAAGCCTCATACAATCTACACAGCCTTAAGGTTTCTTGACGAAAGGGAGAGCTCACAATTGATGTCCCAGTTTGGGACCAGGTTTTACTTTGTGGCTCTTCATAGCCTTTATACAAAGAGAAGGAACGAATTACAGAATCACAACCCTCAAGTATTTACAGACAGTGAATAACTAAAAAACATTGTTGCAGAAATATACCCCGATCTGGAACGAGGAAGCCTAGCATTTCAGAAAGTGACGTGCGACCTTCAAAACAAACTGTGCTCGGTTAGAAATTGGGGTAGAATAGCTAATCGATATGGCCTCGATATTATCTGTTTCATCCCTTGGGGAGGCGAGTTCGAAATATATGATAAAATGTATATCTCAAACACAAGAGGTTATGTTTATAGTCTAACATTATAGACAGCGTTCAAAGGCTCCCGGAAAACCATTTTGATGATTTCCTTAACTTATTAGATAAGAAGCGAGGCTATTTTCTACGCCAGTGTACTAGAATGATACGACTAAGATTTCGGAGCCTCTTGAAATCACGCCCATCTACGCCACTGCAATTGGAGGTAACAGATTCGGAGGTCGTCAAGAGAAAGAAGTTCGATTCCCAAAACTTAATATTCTCAGACCCTGTGATGGCTCGGCAGAGGAGAGCCATGTGATTGTAGATTGTCGTGTTTGTACATGGGGTTACTATAAAGCTTGCATGAGTGTGTTCTATTAGTGACAAACGATTCGTCAATCCATCTTTTTCAAGACCTAACTCAGAGTCAGACCTACTGACGTGCCTATAGCGATTTTTGTAGTAAGAATTCTCATCTACAAGTCATCGGCAGTACGACATCGATGCACTTAGTTGGCGTACTTATTATAGTCAAGCTTTTCAGCCAATTAAAAGGCTCCATATCGTCGTTCTAGAGTCATGGAAGGTGTTACCGCCCCGCAAAAGCCAAATATACTTCCCATAAAATGTACCTCTGACGCTCTGTGATATACATGCCCGTCTACTATATGTGTCCGACGGTGCCTCAAGAAGATCAACATAAGGTGCACACACATCTAGGAAGATGCTCCTGTTCCGCGGGTCCCCAGGGGATGGTAGGCGGCAGGCCAAGGAATGTGCTAACTAGTATCTATGTCGTTAGTAATGTGAGAGGCGGGCAAAACGTAAATTAGCAAGGGACGACAGTAGAAGTCAAGAAAGAAATTTAAGACTCGATTCCCTGTTAGTAGCGGTATGCTCGCGTGAGTGGAAGTAGACAGCCGCTTTCAGAGTGGTAGGAAATCCCCTTTCATTCGTACCTACAATGGACTATGGGACTTGGATGCTGTAGGTATGTGGGTCGATGATGCTCTAGGCAATCATGAATCGGTAACTCATCTGATTGCTATTCTCGCCAGAAGATGCGGAAATAGTGACTTTGCGGGTCTCGAAGACCCTTCCTGTGTGACCCGCTCGGAGGGTGGCATTCCCACATCGGATTTACCTCTGCCATGAATGTAGACCACAGGTCCCTCGAATAGCTATGCTTCGTGTTCCACCCTTGTTACAAGAACCGTCAAGCGCGGTAAAGAAGGCTAGGGAAATGGAAAGAAGTATAGTATAGGATGGGGGCTGAAATTATACACACACACACACACACACACACATACACAATTTATTAACCGAAAGGACAACTATCACTAATCTAGAAATATATGTCCTAATATAAGCCGTGTCTCCTTAGAGCCCATACAGAAATTACTTTTAGTACATGTCATCCCATATGTCAGTATCGTGGCGGATTCTCGTGCGTTAGTGAGTTTTGTTAGTAGGCTGGCTTGAAGGCGCCTCTTCAAGTATTTAATATCCTATTCTCGGCATTCCTTGAGTCTGCTCTTGCGAATCTGCAGTCGTTAATTTCTCGGGAGAAGAGCTGATTCCTCTTGTTCTGTTGGGAATCGAACTCAATATTTAGGTTCACCTGTTACTCGAATTGTACCCCAAATAGCAGTCGTATTTTTTGACTTGCTACTCAGTTACATATACGTGTTTACTGCTGGCTGTACACGACCAAGGAGAGCGATAAAGACAATAGTAAGTCTTATTATTTCTTATACATGAATTAGTTCCCTGTAGAGTTGGAGCGACTAAAAACCCAAGATTCCAAGCAAAATGGATAGAAAAAAAAAAGGACTGATAGCGACAAAAAATGACCAGTGGCAAAACTATCACATACTTTACTAGATACAGAACGGCTGGCTCCGCATTTGCCAAAACATTCGTGGGAAAACCCGGTGGGAAAAAAACCACAAACAGAGCCAGAAAAATCGAACTAATTTCCAAGATCTCGAAGGCTTTTCTCCAAGGCTTCCTGCAGCTGACATGCCTCAGCCCGACGGTGGCGGCTGTGAGCTGATTCCGCGGCCAATTGAAGTAAGGTCTCGTCGTCATAGGCACTAACAGCAACCGGATCGAAAACACTTGGCAGCTTAGAGAGAATATGCCGTTCGATTACCTGTCGGCAGACATTGTCGACGAAAAGCTTCATGGCAACCTATAACGCATTAGAGACAAAACTTGACAACACACATGCTCGAATATACCTTATAATAGGCCGCCAAGTCGTTCCGAGCCTCAATACAAGCCTGCTTGGTCATATTGACAACAACCCTCTCTTTTAAGGAACTTGTCAGTCTGCGCACTTCGTCGCGTGAATTCTGGAAGTGAAACGTCCCGTTCCAGTCTTCCTCGATTGCAGCGTCCAGTGATTTTGCTAGCTGCCGTTTGGAACGATCGAGCCTCGCCTTCTGGATATTGTCTGTGTAATAATGATTATAAGTGATTGGTTGACGAGTTTCATCTTGCAAAAGCTTTTCCAACTCCTCGTGAGCATGCTGAATGCCAACATGTAGCGCAGCATTAACGACCTTGGATACGCTGTCACAAACTTTTGGATCCTTCACAACAAACTTCAAGGCGTGAGAAACAAATTGCGATACAAGAGACACAATCTCGCCCACGTGTTTACGCCCAATACCTCCCCAACGCTCTGACTGCGCATGATACAATTCCGCCAACAGAGCGTAGTTGTGATTTCCAGGCAATTCCCTCCCTCGTGTCTCATGATATTTCTGCGCGATGTTAGATCATTCAGACAAAGTAGTAGCTCTACATACCTCTTCGATCCACGACATCAACTGCTCATCAGTGACGAGGATTTGGCCCTCCTCCGCTTCGGTATCCGTCTCCGCTTCGGTGACAACCCTTCTCTTCTCACTATTGTTTCGCATATAAGAGGCGAATGCCTCGTTCTCCCGGTGAACAGCAGCACGAAGTCTGACATACATATTTTCTCCATCAACAATGAAGAAGGAAGCGTCTCGACCCGTATATTCCCCTTCCACGCCGGCCTTGATCAGGTTCTGGAAGTCGCTACTGATTCTGGTGAGGTAGACACGAATCTGATTTGGCGAAGATCTCTCTTCTCCCAGACCGGCAAGCTCGTCATTGACGTTATTTAGCAAGTTTCGCACATCCTGCTGAACTTTAGGTAGCTCACGCTCGATATGATTATCGAGAAGCTCTTGCAGAAAGATGCGTAGATTATCGATCCCAATCCGCGATGGATCGATTCCTTGGGCTTTCCAAGGGCCGGCTGAGAAAAACTCCAACTCTGCTTTCCGACGTTCCGCGAGTGTTATGCCTTTCTCCAACTGGGCTGGTGTCGGATTTTTCAGCAGAAAGAATCCCAAGTTCAACTTCGTGCCATCCAAATTTTTCGCCAGACGCGCAACACGAGACTCGGTGCCAGCATTAATCAAATCGGGCTTCGTAATAATACCGACGGTCCGATAACCGGCTTTGTCAAAGTGACGAGCGCGTTGGATGATTCCCTGTGTGTCCACATCGCTACTTGCGGGCACTACAGCCAAAATTATTGTCCGCGTGTTCTCCAGATACGAATCCACAAGGTCTTGTACAAGCTTGACGTCCTCATCATTTTCTGATACAGAGATCAATCCAGGCAGATCCACGATTGTCAGATGGAGACCCGTGTTCCCGACCAACTCTAACCGAAGAATATCAGCAGAGAACGCGGGCGCGCTCAGGTCTCTAGCATGACCACGTAAACCCATCAATTCAGAGGCCCGTTCAATAATGTTTGGCAGCTCGGTGAAGTCTTGTATCTGATACCGAAATGTGCCGAAGCGGGCTTTTTCCTCCTCCGAACGAGAAACATGTGGTATAATCATGGCGGTAGCACGTTGCTCCCCGGGCTCGTGTCGCAGGCTGATCTCGGTTGCAAATCTCGTGCAAAGACCATCCTGGCGAGGGAATGGTATGCCGGTAATTCCTTCTAAGACCGAGCTTTTCCCAGCGGATTGATCTCCACAGACGGCTAGCTGCGGTAATGCGATATGATCACCAACTCCGTTGGCGCGAATACGATCGATTTGGTTGAGTCTCTCAGATGTCCTGGATGTTTGAAGACCAAGCGAGTCTCCAACTCGATCCAGATCAAGCGCGACCCAGTCTTTGTCGGGCGGTGTTTCCATGACGGAAACAAGGAAACGGTTCTCTTTTTTAGAAAGCAGTTATTTCCCGGTGAGAGAGTTTTGTCCAGAATACAAGTTTTGGGTCAATAAAAGGAAAGACTGATGCTTGAAATAAAAGGATGACCCGGCCTTTTTATAACCTTGACTGTGATCTCATCCGAAACCGGCTGGGTTCTCAAAACATCCAGGATATCTGAGAAACTCAACCAAATCGATCGTAACTCAACGAAGATGGCGAGCCTATCACACAATCACCACAGCTTCAGCCCTCTGCTTGCGGCCACAGTTCTGAAAACGGACTATGATTCGCAGGGATTCCGGTATTATTCCAGCTATTTATACCTTGGGACGTAAGGGATGTCCAAGAACACACACTCTTGTCGTCATAGTGGCAAGGGATAAAGGGATACCAATGCAGGAGACAGACGATCCTGTTCCTGTTACCCAGGAGTTGCTACTAACATACCGTCTGCGAGGTGGTCTTCGAAACGCGTCAACTGAAAGATCAGGTTCTTCATATCTCTCAGCCTGGTGTGGAATTCAGTCATGCTGCGAACATAGCGGACATGGGTATCAACATTCATATTCACTGGATTTTATATGACTCTCGGATTACAAGTCGTCAACGGCAACTCTCTGAGTAGCTTCAATTGCGACAATATTAATCGGCCGAAGAAAAAACAAGAAAGGAACAACTAAGGGTGCAGCAGCACATGTACAATATCAAATTTTTAGCTTCTAAAAAGAAAATAATTTCTCAGGTCGCAAATTTGTTGTTCCGGCTGAGAACTATTTTGGAGAGTGCTCAAGGTTCGCCTTTGCCCCCCTGAAGGGAGAATGCTTAAATATTATTGTCTTCGAAAAAATTCAACATATGTCTCCCACCGATGGCTCCCCTATGTACTTTGTGTCACATTATTTGCCAACTCTTACGTTGACCAAAATACCAAATAACATTTCCAATTGGCAGAAAAGTAACAACCCTTTGAGCAATAATGGTCCAAGAGAACCACCAGAGCTAAGGAAGGTCAACAGATCTTATCCGAACCTCTATTCCAAAATATACATGGGCTTATAACTCAGCTGAAAAACCACTTCGCAGCAATAGTAACCTATCCAACGAAATTTACGCCAACAACAACAGTCAGGCAGACCCAACTGCAGACCGTCAAAGCCCTGCTGCCACTGCTGAATATGCGGATTATTACCGTGAATTTCTTAATGAACTGGTGGACTCATTACGAAATGAAGATCAATTAATGGTAGCTCGCATTGTTGGTCTTGTACGATCTGACGCACCTCAGGATGAGGAGCGCAAATACTTAGTACGAAAAAAGAGGGTATTCGTCACGGTTCTGCGTATGGAACTGTATATTTGCACTTGAGCTAGGCTATGGATGGTTCTTTGCGATAAGAATTTATCATCACTCATATAGAACCAATAAATATTACAAGTTCTAATGCACTGAATTTTACGGCCAATATCTGCCAGTGGTATTCCTTTATAACAACAGCCAAGCCTCGACTCATAATAACACAAAACAGCTAGCTATAGCTATTGTGCAGATATCTTCCTAATAAGTTCCTTGTGCCTTACTTTTCTCCTTTATAATACTAATATACTTTCCGTGATCTTCGACATAACGTAACCGATAAACGAGCGGGCCAGACAATCGGGCGGGCCACCACGCCGCTATACTGAAATTGAAATCGGTCAAAATATCATTAATTTATATTTATATAGAAAAATGAGTAGTTCTATCGATTCGGGCAGTTCGTAATTTTATGGCCCTGTATATTGCATCCAGAACATCTAGGAGATGCGCGTCTAGACCCCGATTCAGTACGCTGAGTTCCATCTGCCTGAATAGCTTCATCTGCCTGAGCTCTCCGCTCTATATAGATTCGGGCGTCAGATACTGACGTACCCCCTTCAAAAGCAATCTGCTTAGTAGAGCGCTTTCACTTTTTAAGTTGCTTTTCATATAAAGCCTCATATCGCTCAAGCTGATGCTTAAATAGCGTCACATCGTTTATAGCTCGTTCAGCGCCTTTAATCATTTGATTTAGACAGGCCTTAGTAGGTGAATCGGGACTGCGAGATCGATTTTTAAGCGTAGATTCTGACTTTTTCAACTGCTTGACTGTATGAGGTGTTTTAGGCGCTGAACTGCCTCGGCTGCTTGGTCTACTACTCGGAGGTGTAGGGGTATTGAGTTGAACTGCCAGCTGAGATAGAACGCATTCAGGATTCAGAGGAACTAGGCCGGTAGCTCTAAAAGCACTATAAATATTACTTCCAGTAAACGCCTGCGTACGAGCTTCAGGATAGGCATCTAAAAAGTCAAGCTTATCAATATGATGAAGCCCGCAGCGCATTTTAGATTCAACAAAACCGCCGTATGCGCGTTTTAAAGGTGAGAAAACAGCAACATCAAGCGGTTGAAGCTTATGAGAAGCGTGCGCAGGCATACAGATCGGTATAATATCGCTTTTCAAGCATATCTGATCAAATTGAGGCGTCAGATGACTATCGTGGCCGTCTAAAATAAGTAATCGATATCGTCCGATAGATCGGCCTGCAGTGGCCGGTATAAAATGATTCTACAACCAACGTAGACCTATTTCATTACTCGTCCAGCCGTTAGGACTGACCTCGATCCTCCAATCAGATGGAATCTTTCGATCCTCATACCAGGCCTCCATATGCACCTTGCCTTTGAATATAATACAGGGAGGTAGAGCCCATCAATTAGAACTAATACATTCTATAGAAGTGACCCATTCCCGGTTACCCAGCTGCAATAGAAATGGCTTGCCTGGCGTATTAGACCTAGTAATCACTTTTGCAGTAGCGATTAGACCCATTACAAACCCAGTTTCATCGAAATTGTAGATATCGGATGAGGCTATACCGTACTTCTAAATAGCCTTATTTACCTGTTAAAACCAGGCATTTAAGATCTTCGGATCTTCCGTTTTGGCACGTTGATAATTATAGCGACGTGCAAAGCAGGTTTTAAGCTCAGGTGTACGCTTGGTAAAGTTAGATACCCATTTTATCCCTACAGTAGTAGGGGGAGATGTAGTATCACGCTTTGAAAGTAGAATATTAGCCATTTCTTCCACGTATGCAGGCCGAGAAGGCACTCCACGTAGATCTAGTGATAGAATCCACTCCTTAAGCGATTCCTCTTCACTAGCAGTCAATTTATGATTGTTTACGCGTAAATCTGATCGAAATATATACCCTGCTAGGCGTCTTTGTAATGTTATACGGGGTATATTAAAAACGCGCGCGGCTTCACGAATATTGCTAATATCATTATTTTTAATAGCTGATATAGCTAATAAGACCCTTCCCTCTTGTTCCGCCTTATCTTTTGATGATTTAGGCATTTTTGGTGGTATGGCTAGTGGTTGAATAGCTTCAAAAAAACAGACGCGTAGAATTGACGCGTGGTGGCCCACCCGATTGTCTGGCCCGCTCGTTTATCGGTTACGTTAAGCCATATCATTCTTCCTGTCTATAGAAGTACCGACACCGCCGCTTAGCGCAAGCGCAGCTCTAATCGCCCTGTGTGCTTTGTACGACTTACTTGTTTCGGTGATTTCCCCCTGTAATGACGTCTATATGGCTTCCTACGATTCATGCCCCAACCACGACGTCTAGAATACGGGCAAAGACAGTATTCGTATACCCCGAGAGCATAAATAGTATTGTTGCTGTTCTTTGCTGCTTCTGACATGCGATTTCCTTTCTATTTGTATTTTGATGCCTGCGTAGCTGCTGTTGGTAGTTCCCCGCTGCCCACTGTTCCCGAGCTGGGTCCACTCCAAAGCATATGGTTCCCGTTGGATCTCATCTGTAGCCTACAAAAAGTCGTTTTAGCTTTTGTTCTTCTGCTCCACGCGAGGTCTTCTCGTATAATTGCCTTCGCCTTTTCACCGCTCTGATATCTAATACTGAACGATGAAAGCCAATGATCAAAGCCCGACCTAGCTCGGCGTTCCACAGCATGTTATCCGGCCGAAAGGTCTTAATTAAAGACCCCCAAGGAAAGAATCTTCTAAGGCCACGAAATTCCACGCCTGATCGCCTCGATATCTTTCATCTTGTTGATGGGTTCACCACCCCAAGCTGTAAGTACCATATGCCGGATCTGGCCAGCCTGTGTAGGAAGTAGATCTTGGCCGGGTTGATTGTGCCAAGAAGAACCAGGACTGCTCGCCATTGGGCTCGCCATAGTATATGGTAAATATCCGTCTCTCGCTTCACGTTGTTCCACTGATAAGATGTAGTTTTCTTTACCAACGAACGTATACACATACGTGGTGCAGATGACTGTAAAGGGTACTATAGGTGCCCCACAGCCTCCCATCAGTGTTCAGTCACGGCCATGGCCTTCATCTATCTGTTGCTCAGTCTGCTGAATCAAACCCCTCCTGTTCATCGGGTGTTGGTGGACGGGGTTGCATCTCTGGTAATTGAGCCAGCTCCTAGAAACGCGGAGTATAGTTCTTGTACACTTGGAGGAAAGAATCAGTTTAATATGGTTTTGCAAACATACTATCTAGGAAATTAGACTCTATTTATAAATCGGAGGAAAAGTCGGTATCCTGACCTCATAGTTGTGCATTCGACATTTCGGGAGCAGCTTCGATTTTAGAGACCGACCATGGCTCCGCAGCCCAAACGTTGTGTTCTTGGCAGCGAGCGGCATGTTCCGGTGTGCGTCAGCGCTTCTGCGACCCAGCTAGACTCCCGTAGGAAACCGGGACCTACTCGTGGGGACAGACTAAAAGATTCTAAAGATGGGCTGGGTTATCGATGCAGCAAAGTACTTATAGACCCAATTCTCTCCAGCCCTACAATTGATGGAATCACGAGTGTCGAACTCTGTGGCAACAAATCCCAGATGGCACATAGACTTTCCTATTGGGTAGCAAGGACTTTATCTAGTCCAAAAGCGATGGGTTAAGAAAAAAAGTGTACAGAACGCCTCCGTTACTCTTATAAGGCCAGATAACTTGGTTGCACGTATTACTGTAGCTACGCATATTCTATTGTGGCCGCTCTTCACAGGCGTTAGTCAGCCCAGAGAATCAATGTAAAACTTTTCATTCTGCCTGAATAACTATAGATGCCGGCAGCGTCAGGACATTTTTGAATGAAGTGCGGTTTTTCTATATGTTATCTTCCAAAAATATTGTATATGACTAATATACTGTTGCTGATTAATTTTAAAAGCTGCCTACCAGGATAGCAGACATAAAATTTGCATTAATTAAACCGCGAGAAAACCAAAAGAACGCAGATGGTGATTAGAAATTTTGGCAATCACCTAAAAACCAGCTCTTATACGCTGAGCTTCTGTGAAATAACGAACTTTGTGAACTTGGTCTGCATGGCTCTTCAGCTCTTGATGACCATGCAGAACAAGCTGGCAGAATTCATCTGGGCATGGTATCGGTTCTTCACGCCCGAAAGTCCGCAGATGCTTTTCAAAATGTTCTCGCGCTTTCCGAGATGTTGAAAAATAGCACTGATGATGCGGACTGAATACACAGAAGAGACAATGCTTGTTAGTGAGAGCAATAGGGGAGGCACGAGGCTCTGGAGAAGACGAGTCTTTATCTGTTTGAGACGACACTATGGACGGAGGACTAGCAGAGCCAGTAGTTATATCTTCTCCGGATATTCTCTCAGATGGTATTTTCACCACACGGCCGAGGTCAATCAGCGCATTTGATAGTGCAAGCCGGTGGTCTAGAGCTTCTTTCTCAGAGAGGTCCTTGGTAGGGAGCTTCATCAGGTCTGCTATGCGCCTTCGCTCCTCCAGCTTGTGAACGACAGATTCGGGGCGATATTCATTGTCATCGACATCTATGAAGGACGGGTCGAGCTGCTTATTTATTTCCTTTGTGTCGATTGTGTCAAAGAACTCTCCACGAGCAGCGTTAAAAGCTTCCTTTTTTAGTTTTGCCTTTGCACAGCGCAGGTTAGCATCGGCCTTAGCCTTAAGTTCTCCAATCTTTGTGCCTGCTGCGTTCTTGCTCGACCCATAAAGCTCTTTCGCTTCCGCAGCTAAAGAATCTCGTAGTTCTCGAAGACGAATTATTTCTGGGTGAGAAGAGATTGAAGCTCTTTGTGTAGAAGTAAGATCGTCAAAGTGGGCCGGTGCACGAGGATCCACATAACGACTCTGATGACTGAGGATATTCATCAATGCATTCTCAGAAGGTATTCCAAGAAATGCTGCCTGGACATGGCACTGGACTCGTTGGTTCATATACTTCTGGTAGACGCTGGCATAAGCATGTCCCATAACTTGCTGGAGCAATGGGAGTGATGCAACATCTAGGAGTTTGGTACGTGAACATGTGTTAGTAATGCCCAAATAGGAATACAAAGAAAAACGGCAGCTGGAATGTCCTACTATCGACTGCTTCGCCCGTGCCTCGCCGTAGATCGTATGGCCTCATAGCCTGAATCATGCCAACAGCCAAACTCAAACGTTGGAGATAATACAGGTACGTGTGATACTTCAGTGGCTTCATATCATGCGTCCTAGTTCCGTATCCAGTCGAAATTGGCTGTCGACAAACTGGAACGTTTAATTTGTCCTTACGAAACTTCAGTTGGTTGGAGCGTCGAGGAGCAAGTACACGACTAGAGAAGATTTCCTCGACAGAGCGAATATTGCTCTCGAACGCATCATCAAGTATTGCCATGACTATAACAAGCGTTATAATATCAAATATTGGCTCCTTCACCTCGGACATTAGAAATATTTTACTATAGTTTTCTTAGCTTTGGTGGAAAGTTTTCTCAGTGGAATACTTACCGCTTGGGCTTATTGTGGTGGCCTTTTGTGTGTTTCAGATCAACCTCCATTACCAAGTGATCACGAGGGCCATGGGGGTTTGGTAACAAAATCAAACTTATCTGACCGTAGCAAAGGGTTTTGAGATCCTCACTCATTGTGTCCCAATCTGCTTCCTCGTCTCCCTCGTTATCATTGTTACCACGACCATAGAAATGTGAAATATTGGTTCGCTCATTCCTCTCCACATATACTAATGCCCCTGGCCGACTGGCGGTGTAAGCGGAAACCAGAAGAAGGAAGGCTAGTTGGATAATCTGCCTGCCATCAGGGTATGGCGTTCTGTCTAGTACCCAGTGATGATGAAGTACCAGGTATAAGTCATCGACATTCATAACAGGTTTGTCTCCGACAGACAGGTCTAGGTTATAAAAGGGCACCAGGGTCCCAGTCATGTACTGGCCAGTAGTTAGTGGATGGAGCAGTGAGAGATACACTGATGGATCTTACATCATTGATGTCACTACGGCATTTGGCGTGAAGACTGCGGCCAACAGCTTGGCGATACAGTTGGCACCATTGCCTCCAGTTTTCATGTAAACTGCTGAACTTTTTTATGGCGTAGTTGTCAAGTATCCATTTCAAAAAGATCATGACATCTTCTTTCCGGGCTGCCACAAGGAATTTTAGTCGGTTTTCCCCGAGAAAATCGCAATGCCTAATGTCAGTCCACTGTAAGCATCCTACGAGCTTACTCTAGTACAAGGAATGAGTTCTCACTTCGTCCACTTATCCTTGATACCTTTGATGTTGTTCTTCGTTGATTTGGCGTGCCGTTTCTGGAAAACGCCTGTGCTTTCCAGATCTCGACGATGCTGTCGATAGTGTTCAGGGCCAAGAACAGTCATTTTCCTGGAGCCACGAAGAGCCGAAGCACCCATAGCGGAAATTCCGTATTAAGATATGATTTTGAGGGAGAAGGGCAGGAAGCCAGACTGGCTCTTCAAAATGGAACGAATGTCAAATTTAGGTCAAACGAGAGATAAAAAGAGAAAAGCAAAAAGCTTGAATACAATATAGTGCACAGAGGAATAAATGAAGAGGGCGAAGAGAAAAATGTCAAATGTCGGAAGTAGCCCTTAAATAGAAGGAAATGTAGGTATACCCACTTAGAGTGAAGTAGAATTACCATGATTATCAGGCGGCGGTTATGCGCGGCGAAAATTCTGGAAGTGCTCATGATGGAATTGTAATGTGTCCTGAGCAGACTGAGTAGAGGGTGAGTTGATCAGGGAGTACTCAGGGAGCCTGGGCAGAGTAGGGGTGAGTAAACCTTGAGCGCTCACTGAGCACTCAGTGATGTAGGGTGCGTACACCCACGTGATATATAATGACTAAGATGGATGAGCGATACTATTGGGCGCGAATGGTGCTTAAAACGGCACTGACGGACTGCCGTTTTTGGCCGCCATTTACCGTCAACCAGCGTTGGGATGTAATATCTCGCTACTTAAGTATTTCCATCTGAATCTTCTGAACAACGCAATGCTTCATATAGTTGAAATATAATCGTTAGGGTTGATGGCTGATCATCCGGATCTTTTTTCGGTATCGGGTCTTTTTAGATGACACACGTCAGCATTTTGACTGCAATATTGGAATGCATCATCTCTCATCCCAACCATGTTGAACATTAGGTAGCACCTGTGAAGATCTCTGAGATCTCCTGAAAGGTTTGATGATCTTGCAGTCCCTTGATCTCTAGTTGGGCTGCAGAGCTAAATTAATCACGGAGTGGGTAGCATAAGACTTCTTTCTAATTCTATGGGGCGGCTACTGGTAGCTTGGTGGCTCTTCCACCTGTTTGTATGGGTTACTTTATATGTTATTTCTTGCTCACAAATGCATGATATATATATTCAGGATCTTACCTTAGTTATTGGGCTTATTTACCTTCAATATTAACACTTGCATCATCCACATCTCATGGTCTGTATCTTTATTATTGTCCTTAAAGTTCTGTCCCTAGCTCTTGTTCTGGTATTCATTCTTGCCATATATCTTAAGCAAATTCCATGAGCTGCTTATCTGGATTCTAGTTGGCTGATTCTTGCGGTGTCTCTATTGAGAATCCTCCTGGGAACTGTGTACTGTATATATGCCTTCGGTGTCATAGGACAGAGGGCTGAGCTACTCGCAAGCTCCAATGACAGATATTTGTCTGGAAGGTAGAGTATTACTAAAAACATCCAGATTCCTTCTTCAGAGCCAGGCCTAACTAATAATTCATCAACATTATAAATAATGTGCTTCCCTGTATATGGTAGCAGCAAATCAGACAATGGTGCCTCAATTCAACACAAGTTAATGAGCTTCTAACAAGACATGAGTCCTGATGGACAGCCATCTAAATTTAAACTGCAAGACATTGCGCCGGTAATGAGGGTTATGATATAGATTTTTCAACTATTATGGGGGATGGCTATAAAAATTAATATGTCACTCCTAACTCTCACTTTCATCCTGCTTCTGACAGCCCTATCTGCTGCAACTATATTAATTACTCATAAAATAGATACTGCTATAGGTATTTACCTTCTTTAGTAGGTGACTTACTCATTATGGCTAGGACACCCTCTATATAATCTATAATCTTAGTATACAGGCTTTGCGCATATACTAAGAGCAATAGAAGTATGTAAAAGAGTATTAAACTCTCTAAGAGGTGTTACAGCAAACCACCTTAGACCTAGAAGAGATAGTGGACTTAGCTGATCTTCTCTATAATACTAATTAGCAGATGGGAATAGTGATTAACTATCTTTTAAAAGAGCAGGGGATAGGCCCTACTAGTGAATCCTAATCCTTTAAGATTATGCTAGACTATATAATCAACCAGCTTGAGAGCACTAAAGAAGATTAAATAGGTGGGACTAAGTCTCCAGCCCTAGTAGGAGATATCACTATGGGTGAGAATCCTACATAAATAGGAGATCTACCTGTGGCTAGGAGTGTGGCTCTAGGGCAAGCCTATAAGTATATAAGAAATGGCCATTTTTCATGGCTAGGCGCTAATAATAGGGGGCTTAGATGGACTTTTCTTAGTGGGCTCTTATAGAGGGTATTTAAGCATCTTTATTATTATAGCTTCCTTTCTTACTACCTCCCTAACTGATGCTCTCATGTACATAGAGAAGTCAGTCCTTATTATTAGATATAGATGTTCAGCTCTCCTCAAGATATCAGAGCCCTAATATATTCTTATATACCTACTTATTCTCCCCAAATAAAGGCTTCCTAGCAGATATTTTACTATTATTCAGCCTGATTAGCAAGTCCTTGCCTGCCTCATTCACAGTGTCCTACATTATTATTAATATATCATCTATTAAGTACCTCTGATGCTCACTGGGAAGCAAGCCTAAGACAGAAATCATAATTAATTTTCCATCCACCTCAGAAAGCAGCAACAACATGTCTAAAACCAGCAGCAACCATAACTTTATGGTTTCCACTATAGGGACATTAACACAATGCTTATTTAGTGACTCCCTATCTAATTTATAGCTATTTTAAATAGCTCCCAACTAAGATTTTAATAATCATAGTCAGAAAACTTTCTTTACTTAATTATATTAGATCTCTCAGACTTTAGATAATATGCTGCACTCCATATTTATTCTAAGATCTAATTATCTCTTTCTCTCTTACTAGCCTAGAGCAAGTATATCACATTCCTTAGGCATACCTTGCAGTATATATGAGGACTCTCCACTATAAATCTACTAAGCTTATTATACTATACTAGTAATCTGTAGATTATGATTATATTCTTACTAATATTTAGAGTCATCCAGAATCATAATTACTTCTGTAATTATGTCTATACTTCATCCTAATATGCTCATGATTAAAAAGATGCTTACTGAAACTCATATAGGACCTATATCTCTAACAGAACAATACAAAAATACTTTTAAGTTGCCTGGTAGACAAGCAGCAATAGATACTTAAATAGAATATGTTCTTAAGATTTGCAAAGTAAATAAATCTATATATTTATTAAGTTTTAATTAACATACCTTATAGCCAGCCTCCACCTACAGTAGTTCATCTCAGTCTAACTAAATTATCTAATTTTCTGAAAAATACTTCTCACCAAAATTTAGAGATGATATGCCACATATCTGGTTAGCCACTGCCAAGTATTAATCTTGACATAAATAGTCAGAGTATAAAGATAGAACTATCTCTTAGAGTAAGCAAATTATTAATTCAACACCTGGTCACATCTAGGAGCCTTATAGATGGAAGTATCAGACTATAGGTTATTAATAAAAGTGGCAGACCTGACCAGGCTCTATAAAAATAATGTAATATTCATCTCCTTTACCAGTTATAATATTTATGACTGGATCACTGTTAACTCTAATAGCGACCTACTTTCCATTCTGTTTAATGAGGAGAGCATAAATTAATTAATCTGCCATGCTAAGATCTTTTCCACCCTTATTGTAAGTAACCCAATAATATATTTAAATTATTAAAAAAAAATTATAAGATATATACTAAGTATATACCTAGCATATACTAAGTAGTGTCATCTACCCACATTCATAAATCTACCTACCTTCATAAAATACTGTCATAATATGAAAATATATATCTTACCTCCCTGCATTTCATATTCAGTCCATAATAGTTAATAATTTGGTTAGATTATATAGTAAATATAAACAAGAATAGACATATCTAGATATACTAGAAGTTTGGATCATTATCTAAGTTTTCCAGCTTATTTAACAGCATCTTTTAGCTATATTAGACAGTATATGCAGTGCCTCTTCTACCTACTCTTTCTTAATAGATATTTTATTATTAGGTATAAAACTGAAGCTATTCCCATGGCCTAGATTCACTGGTGTAGTAGGCAATGGGAGCTGCTGGGGGCTAGATATAGGTGATTATCTAGATTAAGAGTTAAATAAGGAGAACTAGGCAATAGATATACTGCTAGCCAGCATAGAGTTTAAATTTGCAAATATCTCTCTAGATCTACTATAGATTATAAGCCTCTATCTGCTTCAAAGCAGCACTTTTAGTTAATCTCTGCAAATACTATTATCTCTTACTCCCACTGGGAGAAGTAGTTAATAATATAGCTGGTAGATCACTGTGGTGATGGTATTTATAGTAGTAGCAGAGCTGCTAGAGCTAGCAGAGCTAGCAGAGCCAGTGTTAAAGATAGATAGGAAGGGTAGTTAGATAGCAGAGTAGGCAGAGAAGACTGTGAAATCTTTATTTTTAGTATATTTACTATAGAATTTTAAGTAGCTTAAGTCTCTTACTTCTGCTCTTCTTTCTCCTTCTTCTTCTGCTCCCTCCCTAGTTTTTAGGCCTCTACAGCCTTAGATTTCTCATCTTTCTCCCTCTTCTTAATCTCCCAGGCCTCATGGGTCTCTAGAGCCTCATCAAGGCTGCAGACACAGCCTAGAGATGGCTTAAACTTCCCTTTAGTATGCTGTAGGCGCTGATTCTTTAAAGCTATAGACTAAGTAGCTAACAGTAGCTATTCCATAAAAGAGTGACACTATTTAACTTGCCAGCAAGGAGGCAAGTAAGATACTTTTTATATTTAGCCTGGGAAGTAGGTGATGCCTCCCATATCTTACTAAGAGAGGAGGCAGCTCCCCCTTATCTTCACTATATTCAACCTCTAATTCTCCCATAGCAGTTAAAGATAGCAAAGAAAGTAGTAATGACATCAAAAGCAGGCTCCCTTAATCATAGGCCTGTGTTACTGGGATCTCTCTGATCCAGATTGGTGGTGAAGATGGTGGTAGAAGGGGGGGAGGGGGGGTGGTATTCAAGAGGCTTGCGAGCCGTGGCGGTGTAATTGGCCCATTTAGCTGAATTTCATCCGAATTTTCAGATATATCACTATTAATTTCCATATAGAAACATTAGCTGTGCTCTTCTGCATATAATATGCTACTTACAATTACAATTCATTTTCAGTGTTTTTCAGTGGAATATTTCAATATGGAATGTGGAAGGTGATGCAAATCGTGGTTGGATTGATATTTTTTTACGAAGGTGGGTAGATTTGCGAATGTGGGTAGATGACACTATATGTTGTCAGTGAAAATAGAGAGCTTTCCCAGGCAACAAGGCGTACATAAGCTAATGATTCTGATTGGTCCAAACATAGAAAGATATGGAAACATAAAGCTCTGTTTGATGGAAAGGCTTTGGCATTCATACAAGAGTCCAACTACTGGAAAAAGAAACAATTAGAAAATTAAGAAAGAAAACTTTTTTTCTTTTCTTTTTTACTATTCGAAGACCCTACAGTGGAAGGCTACTTCCCCTGTCCAAGGGCGCTCACGTGGGTGATGTGCGTCAAGAACCTGGACCGCGATGCCGTCCAAGTTCCAACATCTCTACATGAGGGTCAATGGTCGTCCCGCCCCACATCGGCGCATAATCATGGGGCCATGGACCATGGACCAACACCTGCTTGGGGATCGGCCGGCGAACCACCTCACTTGCACTACACTGTTGGCGCAATGCCCTAGCATCTATTCCCCGGACCCTGCGCTTGACAAGGAATCTTTTGAAATCCCAAAACGGCTTGTTATCAAAGACATCTGACTAGACTCTTCGGGTAAGTGAGGCTGCATACAGACTCAATTTTATAAGGCGCAAATCTTTATTGGTATTAGTGGACGCCTTCTATCTCTGCTACTGTCTTAAGCAAGCAGTGAAAACAACATTCTATTCCGTACGAGAAAGGTTGCAACCTGGTTGTTAGTGCCCCTCGGCTGCATGAGCTACACTGCAGTATCGGAACACCGTCTTTGCGATCTCCTTCCCTAGCGTGATTTCCTCTTTAGCTACAAGAAAATTATAGTAACACCTATAGTGAAACTGTTATCTGGAATATGATAATCCATTGTATCATGCTCTGATTACACCACGGACTTTGCTTACCTGGGTCGAACTTAGCTTGCATTACATGACCATGTTTCAAAACCCTATTGTAGAAGACTTCCCTGTGCTTAAGTGATTTATTTGTGATCTATCTAAAGAAATTTAAGTAGTTGAAACCTTAATGTATTCTATTGGTTCTTTGAGGTTGCGAAAATCAAATGGGGGAGAGTTAAAAAGCATCTTGCTGGCTTGGTATTTATACTGACCTGCATGGATATTGAACAACTAATTTAGAATCCCTGTAAGATGTGCTGCTCAACAGCATATCTTACAGGCATTGAAGTTTTCAATATAGTCATCTGGGTCAAAATTAGGAAGATTGCCTCAAAGGTGTAATATATCACTTTAGTCTCCTGAAAAGCTGGTGTATGAATTATATAAAGTTCATTTGAAAAGCCATTTAAGCCTTGTCGAAATGCCTACTGTATTCTGGAACAAACTAATCTATCCTTACTTTCTGTCACAGAGCTCACGCGAACAAGGTCACGTGAGCTAATCGAAATGCCTCACCAGAAATGGAACGTAATGCTGTCGTATGACTTGCACTGGTTGGCCGTCACCCAGGACAGCAATCGCTCCGTGGAGGACGGAGTGGATGATGACTGTCCGGCTGACCCATCGATGCCTAGAAGATGCGCCGGGAATCCAAAGGTCCACCCCGTCCACAACGGAATGAAATTCAATGACCGCGAGGTTGGCGGCGCGCCGGTGCAGAGTGGCCCAGGATTGAGTCCGCAGGGCCAATGGCAGGATATTCGCCGTAAGCAGAAGCGTGACCATTAAGCCCTCATCTTACACTATCACGGGCTGGGCATCAATCCATTCATCAACTGAAATGAAATTAAGCATATCCACGCTACACCATTCCTAAGAAACATATCCCACCACAAAAGAGAGGATAGGCTCCGCAAAAATCCCTTATATTCTATAAAGGATGCATTAATCCGCGGTGCCCTGGAGCAAATACTAATAGGGAATTATTACTTCAGATGTCTTTTCTTTGGCTGCTGGAGGGATTAGCTAGGTGTAACTAGAGCTAAGAGCCCTTCTATCTTATAGGACAGTGCCATATACTCCCCACTGCTTCATTGGCCCACTTGATCCAATGCTTGTTGTTGACTTCTGGCATGTTCTAGCTGGCGCGTCAGCTTTGGCTCCTCCATGGTAAAATCAATATAGGGGATACTCAGTGAGCGTGCAGTCATTCTCCTTGGGCACTTTCTGGGAGCTCGGGTTCTGCCGCAAAACTTAGTAATACACCCCCAAGGCATTGATAGGGCATGCCTGCGGATGGTGACCATTGGCACTCACTGGGTGGATTAATGTTTATATTCCTGAGAATCTGTACACAAATTGACTTTCAGATGAGGACTAGCCTGGCTGATGGTATCTCCAGCGTCCTGAGGAGTTTCACGCTGGGAATCTTGTTTTTTGTCTTCCATGCCAAGCCTCTCGCCATCTGAGTCCAGCTGCTGATTCAGCCATGACATCGGTGGTATGGACAGCCCTATCATCGTGAACGGAGGTGCCACTAACAACTCCCCGTCTGAGTTACTATAATTGAGCTCATGAACGCGAGTCATGGGTGCTGAGTGTATGAGTGAGCAGTCCGCGAAGAAATTGTGATATGCTTACAATGTCCCTTCAAGTATTCCTGAATGCCTGTCATCACACGAAGCAGGTTTTGCTTCACAGATGGAGGCCATCGAAACTTACTACCCTGGAAAGTAGGGATGATATCCCTCTTAAAACTATGACTTTTTCTTTCCGTGGGGGCTCACTGTGGTTGCTCATTCGCCCGACTTTCGATTGTTCCTGCGAGTCAACCCGTAGGTCTTAGGATCCTCCAGGTCTCATGATCCGTAATATATTCTAGTATGTGATGTAATTATAAGTAAAATAAGTTAATGAGAAATTTTCGAGAGAGTCCTCCGGAAAGTCATAACTCTTTAGCTAGCCATATTTGGTGATACTGGAATATGCTAAACTTGGGCAATTACTGATCAACTACTCATTGACCATCCATTAACTATCCCCAACCACCAATCAACTATCAATCCATCAACACCTGTAAACTGGCAATGCTAAAGTTGCTCCAATGCCTATGATTCTTAGGACCTGCAAGATTTAAATACTAGTAAGACTTCTGATGTGGGAGCCATCAAGACAAGAAAAACCATTGAGCATTTCTATTATCTATCAAACATGACTTCCCGCTTCTCTCAGGCGTTGGCAAATGGGGAAGCTATTGAAGTACTCATGAACAAAGTGGAATACGTCTCTTTTATCGGCAACGGGAAAAAAGCAATAGGAACTAGAGATTTATGATTGCACGGCCGTTGTGCTCGTTTCCACTCGAGGAGCCATCATGACCCATATATCTCCACTACCGGGCCCCACGACTGATCCTAATGCTTCTCTCAATCACACTCAGAGGATAATGACCGCTTTCATGGATGTTTATCATCAACGTGAACTTGATTTCAAATTCGGACAGAAAGTCAAGAAATCAGTGGTGACATATGCGCTATTCATGGGTTAGGTCGCGATGCCAGCTCAGAGGGATCTCATCCATGATATCCTTTTGGAGAAATTATCTGGAGGACAATAAGTTGCCGAGGGAGTATAGCTATAACGTTAGTATTGGTGGCCATATGGATCCCGCAAAAGGCAGTGTTTTTGTTGATGCCAGAGGTAGTATCCCAAAGCTATACATTGAAGATATAGAGAGGGATCTTTTCTTGGCACTCATATCAAATTGGGTGAGTAGGTTTTTCCCCAGCAAATTTCCTGTCACCCTTTTTGATATTAACGGCGGCTAGATTGTTGAAGGCTGTGCTATGGTACCGACACCAACAGGAGGGATCCAAGGGGCAGAACTATGGAACAATGACAACCAATCAATCCGTCAACCACGACATCTACGCAATCAGCCTACAGAGTGTTGCTATGAAATAACAGATCAGTGCTATGCTGGGAGGAACTATATATAGACACTCATTCACATTGTACTCTTGATTTAGTTCCTCACGCTCAATTTACGCTCAGTATTACCTTATCAAATTTTACTTGGATACAAGCTCCATTGTCCAATTCGCCGCTACTCTTTTACAGGAAAGCACATTGTTTACAATGTTGATGAATTATTAGTTAGGCTTAGCTCTGAAGAAGAGATCTGAATGATCCTAGTAATAATAAACTTGGTAATAGGAAATGAGAGCAGACTACAGAGTCGCATATAGGATAGACTAAAGAACCACGGAGCACAATAGCGGACAAACTTGAGAATCGGGCCTAAGTTGCTATTAAGTTCTCTTGAGTTGGGCAAGCTTCTGTATAGGTATACAATAATAGAATATCAGGAAAATTGCTGCCTATTGAACTAGTCCAATTTCGAGTCTCGCGTCGGCGCTTCGATCTGGTCGGATAGTTCATTTAATCAGGATTGAGCAACCAAATACGGGACTAGCACAGCACAGTCTAGAACGACAACATGCGCGTAGTGAAAATAGAGAAAGAGGATTAGTATCCTGCGCCTAGGTCCCATTGAGGAATGGGATTATAAACTACTTTTGCTTCTATCTATGGTTTCTTCTTTTTATAAAAATATATATATATTGTCAAACAAAATCGGTATCTCTTATACACACCAAAGGTAACGGTCACAAAACGAATGAATGAGGGTCTGAATCCTTGAACTATCTGTAATATCTCGCTACTTAAGTATTTCCATCTGAATCTTCTGAACAACGCAATGCTTCATATAGTTGAAACATAATGGTCAGGGTTGATGGCTGATCATCCGGATCTTTATATTTTCGGTATCCGTTCTTTTTGGTTGACACACGTCAGCATTCTGACTGCAATGTTGAAATGCATCATCTCTCATCCCAACTATGTTGGATATCAGGTAGCACCTGTGTAGATATCTGAGGTCGTGGAATCTCCTGAAAGGTCTGATGATCTTGCATTCCCTTGATCTCCAGTCGGGCTGCAGAGCTAAATTGATCACGGAGTGGGTAGCATAAGACTTCTTTCTAATTCTTCAGGATTGGCAGTAGCTCGGTGGCTCTTCCACCAATCCGTATGGGTTACTTTATATGATATATCTCGCTCGCGAATGCATATATATATATTCAGGATCTTGCCTTGGTTGTTGGGCTCATCTGCCTCTAATAATGACACTTGTATTGTCCACATCTTGTGGTCTGTATCTTTGTCGTTGTCCTTGAGGTTCTGTCTCTAGCTCTTGTTCTGGTGTTTGTTCTTGCCGTATGTCTTGAGCAAATTCCATGAGCTGTTCATCTGGATTCCAGTTGGCTGATTCTTGCGGTGTCTCTATTGAAAATCCTCCTGGTACCTGTGTACTCTCTATTCTTGGCTCAGGTCTCGCTTCTGGAGTCAATAGATCATTTATCTCATGGCTTAGAGCCTTTTCTCTGTCTGTTTGTTGCTGCTCCTGTTCTTGCTCGTACTTAAATTCACAATCTGACTCAATATCTGTGTTTCGTGGTTCAATCGCGCGCTGATAGATTGTTTTCTTTATTGGCTCATTGAGTTCTTCCAGACCTTGCGGTATCTGGCTCACTAGAATGTCTTCTAAGAGCGGTTTCTGTGGGTCACGGAACTCTGATTCGTTGAAGGTGACATCCCGTTGAATAGTCACCTTGAAATCTTGTCGTACAGCTTGTGGATTCCAGATTCTCCATAGATTGGATGCTTCGAAACCGACTAGGTAGCCAATCCATGCTTGCGGTGCCATCTCGTCCTTATTCCCGATACCGTGACGAAAAACATAGGCTTTACATCCAAAAATGCGCAAATTTGAGATATCCGGTTTTCGTCCATATAGTGGTTCATATGGAAATATCCACTGTTTCGCTCTTTGATCTCGGGTGGGCGTTCGATTAAGCAGATAAACAGCACTCTGCATAGCCTCTGGCCATAGTTCTCGCGGAATCTTTCCATGGATAATCAAGCTTCGAGCTCTGGTAATAATCAACCCCCCAGCGCGCTCGACTACCATTCTGATCATGTGTTCGAGCCGCTGAGTGCTTGATTTGAATCCTTAGCCTCTTGGCTAGCTCCTGGTAGCGATTCCCAAGCGTTGGATCCTGATCTGAAAAACAGTCGCTTCACATCATATCCAAAATGCTTCTTCTCAATGTAAGGCTCGATGTGATCAACTAAAGCATTCTTATGCGGTGATGTGTATAGAGCATGCCAACTAGTTGCTGAATCAACGAAATGGGTGGCCCAAATATCCTCATTATATGCATCAGTCATCTGGATCATGTCGAAATGGACCTCCTCAAATGCAGTTTCTGCTCGCTTTACCTCCCCTCGAGATATTTGTCTCGATGCTTTTGATGGTCTGCATGTTTCGCAAAGGTTCTGGCTTGTCCGGTGCTAGGACTATTCTGGCCCCTATTGTCCCCTCCTCTAGGTGCTGGATTGTTTCTTTATATGCATGACCTAGGCGCTTATGGCAACAGTCTTCACCCGCAGTTGACATATGTTGTTTTCTTAATCGCTTTGAGGTCGCAAATACTGAATTCTAACTCATCGGGTTGAATTCAATAACTTCCAGTTTGTTCATAGTGAAAACATTGCATAAAGGTACACTATTCTTGTCTTCAATGACACCTAGTCGTTGGTTTAGGTAAAAATATCTCTCCTTTGTGCGGCGTAGTGACACAAGACTCGTATGGAAACCTGGCATATAAAGCGTTTCTTCAAGCTTTAAGATGCTTGTCTCCATCTGGTAGGGTACTGCAGACTTCGACAGTTCCCTGCCCTTCTATCTTAATCAATGAATCACCTGCTCGGAGGTATGCTTCATGTTTAAGTTTCTGGTGAACAGTAAACCTGCTCAGATTATTGCAGATATGGTTGTCTGCTCCACTATTGGCGATAAAACTGTTTCGTAGAGCATAATCACTCTGGCTAGTGATATTCGCTGAAAGCAAGACTGGCTGATCTGTTTGGCCATTTAATGCAATTAGTTCCTTGTATAAGGCTGTCCTTTCTGAAGTCACCTTGGCTTGCTTTTCTGCTGCTTGTCGATCTGCAGCTCGTAGAGTGTGAGATAGTGTTGAAAAACCTTTTAGTGCTCGGTCGAATTTCTGTGATATATGAGGCGCAGGCCTCTAATCCCTGGGTCTAACTGTCTTATTGACATAAATCCTCTATTCATCACCTTGGGCGGAAGAGACTGGGAGCAATTGGGATGCTTACCTAGCTGGGGCGCTGGGCATGGGAACAACTTGAATGAGCATGGAAGACCAAAGGCTCTCGTCCTTGGTGACACCAAATTCAAGTGGGACCCAATTCGCGGTATCAACACAGTCCGAAACAGCGGGGACGATTCCTACGAGGACGAATCGGGGAGAGACGATGTCAGACCTATCGAACAGGTTCAACACTATGGCGCTATCCACAGGTGTCGATACGTCTTTGTTATCACGGATAAAGAGCTTGTGGTTATGCAGCTCCATTTGGCACTCGACCTTATCTGAACCTCGCCCAGACCTGTCCGCACTCGGCCATCAGTCTCACATCATTAACGGGTGTTGTCTTCATCGGAGATCTCAAGGCAATTGACCGAAAAATTGTCACTTGATGAGTCTGTCTAAGAATCTGCTTTGAGAGCTAGAATTGGGCTCGTAAAATACAGAAGGGTGCCTTGGAATGCCCGGGAATGTCTTGGCCCTTTGTGTTGGATCTGTCTAGCGAACAAAGACGGCAATGATCTTGGAACCAAGTACCCCTCGCTTTTGGCTCGCGGAAGGTCCTCTGCCACTCAAAGCAGTCTGGGAACAATCAGAAATATTGCTGACCGCCCAACCGCCAGAGCAACCACGGTCTGGCAAATGCAAAGAAAGTTCCGCAACTGCAACAAGCACCAAAACAGGTAGCCTATCAACAAATATTCGCGGAACAAATATCTAGTATCGTGATGTCAAGTTAGTATGGAGATTGTGCATGGTAGACGCATTTCTTCTGTTTCATCGACCCGATCTTTGACCAAGGAAGAGGTCATGCAATCCCTCATAGATACCCGGGAAGATGCACTGGCCAATGATATTGCGCAATTTCCACTCTGCTCTCCTTTTATCGCCCTCAAGTATGTGCTTAAGCGTTCCCATTACCTGGCCAGCATATCTTTAGAAAAGCCAAACTCCTCAGTTGACCGGTGAACATCCACGCCTCACATCCCTGTGGGGTAGTATTGTGCAAGGAATATGAGAGTCTCTTCTCTCTGCCACAGAGATGCACTGTATTTCCTATATAATATTGTGGAACACATGTCATATCTGAACCCCCTCCCCCTATCCTCTCAGACTACCTCCATCAGACATAAGCATCTGTGCTATGGAAGCAACAGCCCCCTATCTGGAATATTCACCCAAACACAAGCATGAATCATCCTCTAGTTGATCTGGTCCTACTGATGAAAGTAGAGGCACAAGGCCCATGGAGCCACCTTATCAAGATTCCACATAGGTACGTGAAGAAGCTCTGCACAAACTAAGAATGCCATACTCATTGTACTTTCACAGCTGGAACCTCCCACCAACTATGAGAAGGTGGTATTAGCCACGGAGGCTTTTAGACCCTTGGCCTGTGAGCTAGAATAATTAGATAAGTAGGACCCTATTCTGGCTGCTCAGGCGGCACACCTTATAGCCCTCTACTGGCGCTTATAGGAGTCCTATATTACTAAGAATGCTGAAAGTCAGCACCTTGCTAAAGAAAACCAGCAGCTCAAGAACACAAATGCCAGCCTCTCTGAAGAAAAAAGACAGGCAGAGCGCCATTCCTCAGATTATAATATCTGCCTATCCTACTATAAGGAAGCATTTCAGAGGATTGAGGAAGGCATCATCAGGGTCCTAGAGAGTTGGAAGGAATCTCTGGTTGACTCTGCAGATGCTAACAACCAGAAGCAAAATAGACTAGAGTAGAATCATATACATAGACAGCTGTGTGAGGGTTGTCATTGAATAGATGTCTAGTGTCACAGGTGGTGCTAAATCTATAGCATGCAGCATAAGGCTCTATGTGCATATTTTACTGTTAATTATAATATTATATGTGTCTATTAATATATCTGTTAGTGTCTAGGCATTATTTATAACACAATCCTTCAGAAAATTGTAATCTCTTCCCCCTCCTCATCTGTATACTCCAATATATAGCTTATTTTCTGGGCATCTGCATATACAAATGCGTAGCTCCTCAATCTGTGCCGACCGGCCCGGCTACCTTCCCCTATTGTAGGCTGGAGACAATCACATAATAATGAGAATGCTGCATAGAGTTCCCTCTCCCAATGGATAGAGACAGGAAGTCTATTAATTCCCTTGTGGTATCCACCCCTAGGTAGCAATACAGTGGGTAGGCAAGGTGATTATCAGAATTATTTGTACCTGTTAGAAAGGTGTTTAGAAGAAACAGTAGCTTAGGCAGGACATGCTACCTCTTATTTTAAAGTCCCGGCATGATATGACACCCCTATCGCTGCAACATTTACCAAGAGACCAGAGAACCCAAACATGCTGTAAACCGCACGAACGAGGCGTTATTGGGATTAAGAGTCGCAGGGAGTCTGTTGAGCCAGGAACAAGTAACCTGCCGCGACGCCTCCATAATCCACGGCGGAGAGAATCGACAGGGCATACCGAGCGGGATCATAAGCTAGGTAGCTGACGAGGATCATCGCGACTTTGGCGGTATAAATGCACAGGAATGCATAAAATATCTTCATCCCGGCTGCAAACGGCAGTATGTCGGACAGGATGAAATGTAGTCAAAGAAACTAAATAGTCTGTGAGCTCTTGCCCATTGTATGCCCGACCTGTCTTCATGCATGGACACTCATTTCCAGAACCGATGGGAAGAAGCCCGTAACAGATATTGTGATTTCTCTGCCTATCACAGGATCGTCTTTGACCGATGGGAACTCAACTGAGCGGATGAGAATGGCTCCAACAGAGCGCAACTACGGCAACGACGAAGACCATAAGGACCACCGATGAGGTAACATCTACGCATTGATAGAGCAGGTGCTGTCGAAACGTTTGGGTTGATAGCAGAGCACAGGTAGTTGCTAGGGACAGGAGTATGGACACCAAGATGGCGTGGACAATGTTTGGAAAAGCCATAAGCGGTGGTCTATCCGACAAATCTGTCTAATCCACACTATAATAGGTCTGTCTTGACATCTCTGTACCAAGGCCTCCTTATATGGCCCGCTCATCCCGGCTGGGCATGTCCCAGACCGGCTTAGGTAATAATATCTGTACCTACAAAAGTCCGATAAATTTGGCCACAGTCGGCCTAGGTACCATACTGGAATTTTTTACGGATCATGACTCGGAAGATCCTAAGACCTACGGGTTGACTCACAGGAACAATTGAAGTCGGGCGAATGAGCAACCACAGGTTCTTCGGTTCTCTTGGCAAATTTTGCTGCGATAGGGGTGTTATGTCACAGAGGGACTTTATCTTAAGAGGTAGCATGTCCTGCCTAAGCTGCTGTTTGTTGACACCTTTCTGACAGGTACAAATGCTTCTGATAATCGCCTTGTCTATCCACCATGTTGCTACCCGGGGGTGGATGCCACAAGGGAGTTCATAGACTTTCTGTCTCTGTTCATTAGGAGAGCAAGCTGTACACAGCATTCCGATGATTACTATACAATTGTCTCTGACCTAGAGTAGGGGAAGGTGGCTGGGTCGGTCGGCATGGATTGAGGACTGACGCATTTGCATATGCAGACGCCTATTTGTTAAAGTATGCAGATAAGGAGGGGGAAGAGACAAGGATAAAGGATTGTGTTATGACCAATGCCTAGACCCCAGCGGATGAATTAATAGCACATGCAATATAGGAATTAATAACAGAATATGCGCACAGAGCCTTATGCTGCACACTATAGATTCAGCACCACTTATGCCACTAGACATTTACTTAATGCTAACCCTTACACAGCTATCCACAGATATAGGTCTACTCTAATCTATCTTGCTTCTGCTTGCCAGCATCCGCGGAGTCAACCAGGGATACCTTCTAATTCTCTAAGAGCTAGGTGATGCCTTCTTTAATCTTCTGGTATGCTTCCTTGTAGTAAGATAGGTAGATATTATAATCTAAGGACTGGCGCTCTTCCTCTAGTTTCTCTTCTGAGAGGTTGGTATTTATGTTCTTAAGCTGCCAGTTTCTTTGTTAAGGCGCTGACTTTCAGTGTTTTTAATAATGTAACTCTCCTATAAGCGCTGGTAGAGGGCTACAAGGCATGCTGCCTGGGTGGCTAGAATGGGATCATTCTCATCCAATCATTCTAGCTCACAGACCAAGGGTCTGAAAGACTCTGTGGCTAATGCCACCTTCTCATAGTTGCTGGGAGGTTCTGGCTGTGGAAGTACAATGAGTATGGTGTTTTTGGGTTCTTGCAGACTTCACGTACCTACATGGAATCTTGATTAGGTGGCTCCATAGGTCTTGCGCCTCTACTTTCGTCAATAGGACCAGATAGACTGCCAGTTGGGTGCAAACCGCTCCATAAGCTTTGAGCACAGACTATAAGTCAAGAATTTCGATACACGCAAAGCAAGGACATGTAGTAAAGTGATCTCTCACTCTCATAAAGCAGGAAATTTCCATCTCTAGCTGTATAGAGCAGCACATAACGGGAAATCTCATCGAGCAGAAACCTTGCATGTGCGCTGAATGACCGCTCCCTGGAGGTGGAGATATGGATATATGGCGATATGCAGCATCAGATGCCGACAGATAGCCCATGATGAGCTTGGCAATAGGGAACTGGTCCCAATACTTGAATGGGCATGTATCCCGAGAAAGCTAGGGCTAGGTTTTCTAATTCCCGTAAGGAGGGTGATATTTGGCCATTAAATTTAGAGCCCTGTGAGAGTCGAGCTCCACAAGGCCCTCCATACGAAAGATAACAGCTTTGACAGAATTGCGAGACGGTGATCAATGGCAGGGAATCTAGTCTGTACGCAGTTGTGTCTACTATTTAGCCTAAGAATTTAGTTAGTCGAACATGGTTATGGACTGTATCTGGACATCAAATTCAACAATAGTTGAGCCCGAGACCATCAGATATACCAGCAAAAAGGGGAATGAATGACCAAAACTCTCACAACGGCTCTACAATAAAGAACTTACCGGAATCGACGAATTGTTGGGCCATATATGGGGGTCGAGTTTGCCTGCCGTCTACTTGATAAACATAACCCGGGTGCGTCGCAGCTTTCTGAGGACCAGCATCAGCATATGAGGGACAGCTCACTTAGCCTCATTTTTCTGCTTGGATTACAAGATGGCGTCCCTGATTGACTTGCCTGGTTTAAATTTATGAGATTGCTCGTAAGTAGATAATCTTTACTGTTGGGCTGGTTTTACCCAAGAACACAATGTCTGTGGATGTATATAATCTCAAGCGCTGTGCACTTGTTTTAAAAATGCGGT